ACAGGCGCGAGGAGCTCCGTCGATCCTGGGCTTCATTCCTGGTCATGCCTGGACTCTTGATCCATTGATCGAGAACTCATTCTGGGTTCTTGATCGAACGATCAAGAGTTGCTTCTGGATCCTCAATCAACTGATCGAGATCCGTCCTGCACTGGTACGGCCTCGAGCTGCTTGTCGGGTCCAACTCTTTCGTGCCCGACCCTTGGGGTTCATTGCCCGATGGGCAGTGGTAATCCCCTGATACACCATTCTTGTTTTGCGATTCCTTCATAGTGCAAGATGAATGCGATATATTGTTACAAGTATCTACAGATACAGCATAAGTACAAATATTCTGGTCATAAGACACACCATGATAACCCCCAGCTGACGAAGTAGAATCACAGAGTCCTACGCCGGCATCTCTTTTATCTCCTCAATCTCTGTTGAGCTAGTGAGGTCTTCTTCCTTTATTTCTGCTAGAACGGCTTGGAGATGGGTTGCAAAAGTCGATGGCTTTTTCTTGGGGAACTTTAGCCACTTCGACTTGTCAGGTGGGCACTTATTGTCCCACCCCTGATGTCCGGTGTGTCCGCACCAGAAACATCGCTTTTCTCTTTTGAGACGATCAATGTCCATAGGTTCGCCTTCACCACCATAGGTGAATCCAGTGGCGTCCCTCCTGCCCTTCGAGCCACTCGAAGAGCCCCCCACTGTTCCGGGCTTGGAACCAGCGGTCCCGCTGGGATACTTCCCGCCTTGCACGAGATGAACTCGGTAGTTCTCATCCATTTGTAGGACCCTGCACCTCCACTCCCAGTAGGTGGTAGGCCGCATATTGTCTCCACCCATAATGATCTCCTTGACCCTGGGTCGGATTGTGAGGGCGACGACTTCCTCCATTTCCGCGTCGTTGTCGAAGCGTTCTGCTTCTATGGCCAGCTGTTCGAATCTTTCAAAGAATTCGACGGCTATTTTAAACTGTGTCTGTTGCAGTTTTTTCCATTGCATCCGTTTGATTTGAACCTCTGCTACCTCTCAGAAACGTGTTCGGACGTTTTCCTGGAAGGTCTCCCAAGAGGGAAGGCGATGTCTTCCACTGTGTGGGTCCTTGTAGTGTCGTTGCTGATGGACCCACCAGGTCATCGCTTCTCCACCCAGTCAGTGGCCTGCGAAGACTACTTGACTCAGGCCATACCCATATGCTTTGTTAAGCGTGAAGTATTGGGAAAAGACCTCGAAGTAGTATTCACAGTGACTGAAGAAGCGGTCTAGGTCGCTGGCCTTCCCATAGAATTTGTCGGGGACCTCTATCAACGTCAGCTTTATGTTTCCCCAGGGGTTAGGTTGTCCATCAGGGATGACCCACCCATTTGGCGGGTCGGGCAGTAGAGGGGGATTGGTAGGTCATGGTAGCAATCGGAGATTTTGATCGCTACGTGGTGATGGTGGTTGTGCTGGAGGTCAAGGTGGTATCAGTGGAGGTCCTCCTCCACTGCCCCCTCCTGGTCCTCCTGGACCACCACCACCTCCGCCAGGAGCTGTGGGTGCTGGTCCACCTGCTTTTCCTGTCGGCGCCGACTGGGAGGCTTCTCCGGCCATGCTACGGGCATGGAAGGTGCCCCCTCCTGCTGCTTCCAGTCCTAAGGCGCTGGAAGGTGCCCAAGTGATGTCTGGAATGAGGTTTTCCAGACCTACGAGTCTCAGGTCAGGGAATGATTCCTCTCCGTAGCGCCTCCCTGGTGCTACAGGTTGGTCGGGATGTATCTTGTTCCAATCAATAGCGGCATGATACCACGTTTCGGTATGCAGTATCTTGTCCTCTAGTGCGGAACCTAGTTCTGCAGCATTATATGCTTGTCCTTGGTCAGACATGGTCCAATTTACATTGTACCATAGTCGTCTGCTGGTCCATTCTAACATTTGCTGCCATGTTAAATCATATATTTGTCGGTCCGTGAACTCCTGTGCTTGAGCCCTGGATGAACTCGGGTGGGTCATTGGAGGGGCTTCTACTGGGAGGGGGCTCATCCTCCTGGAGCCATTGTTTGATGACCATCCCTGCTCTGGTCCAGGGATCTGACTTGTTGTCGTGATCGGGTGGGAAACCGATGACTTGGTATCTGGAGAATATTGTATATCCTGCATCCCAGTCATCATTCCACTGCCATACGCCCCAGAAGTATCGGCAGTACTCATCCCAGATCTCCAGGGCGTCTTCACATCTCCAGATCCAGAGCCATAGCCCTCGGGGAGGGAGGAAACCTCCATCATCGACAGTAAACCTTGGATCGACTCGGTCGTCTCCATCGTCTGGAGGGATGCCGAGTCGTCTGAGGTCTTCTTCCCGAAGGGATTCTTTGCCTTCACCATCTCGGTGATCCTCTCCCTGAAGCTCGAGCATGGGGGGTTGCTCTTCTCTGTCGGGTAAGGGGTATCGAAGTGCGTCTTGCTGCCTCCCTGGCTGTGGTGTGAGAGACCGGAGCCGGATGGTACTTGTTGTTCGTGAGGTTCCTGTTGATGAGCCATTGAGCCCATGTACTCTCCCTCTTCCAGGGGTCGGTGCTCTGTGGCGGCGGGTTGGTCGGAGGATATGAAGAACTGCGACTGCAGTTACTAGTGTCAAGATACTGAAGGTACTTCCAAAGATAATGGCGGTGCGGTCTGAGGGGGTGAGCGGCATAAAGTTCGTTGTACCACAACGAATGTTTATGATCTCAGGGGACGGTGGGTGCCGTTTTAAATAATGGGCTGAAGGTCTCTTTCTCTTGGGAAGTATAACAGTGACTGTCTTGAAGCAGTACAGTTACTGTTTGACAACGGTAAGGGTAGTAAGGGCAAGCTTCAGCTAATTGTTAAGCACTAACTCGAACCTTCGCCAAGGCTGGTCTCTATCCTGTCACTCACATTTGGTGATTCAGTGTTAGAGAGGCATTGGTAGATTGCGAGAAGTTAGGCGTCACTTATAGCGAAAGCAAGGAGCTTGTAAGAGTTAGGAGTATATAACCTTAGCCAAAGCTGGGGTCTAAGGCCACAGCATAGGCTAGCTTAAATACATGTTAGACTCATACTAAGAATAGTGTCTACAAGGGCGTGTGCAGTGAGAAGTGCATCGTTCAATGAATGAGGAGTGAGGACACTAAAAGAAGTGTACTCCCGACGAATGAGAGTAAAGAGCGCATATCACCTGCATCTGCATGGGACTCCGTCTGAATAGGCTGCATCCCGTAGACCACCCTCGACTGGCGGTCGACTCTCGTCCAACTACTAAGAAGCATGATGCCATCAAGAGAAGCGTGATGGCACATGTGGGTCACTGGTCATCTGGGAGGCAGCAGCGTGAACTGGGGTGACGGCAGCCGGGTAACCAGGTAAAGAGTGTGCCGGTGGAATATCATGGGTCCAGGAGATAAGATAGGTAGGTCCAGGGTTCCAAGAGATAAGGATAAGATAAGATAAGGAAAATAGGGGTAAAACCGTAATACAGGTACAGTGCTATGACTAAGTCCTGTTTAGAATCCCATCACTTCTTATGCTATAAGTTATATTCTGCATCATTGTACCATGTAACATTAGTGTCAACATGTTGTTTTAGTCTGCTTGCTCACTATATCTCAGTGTGCATGTAAAACACACTAGATTGCAAAATTCCACATGTAAGTAGGCTGCAGTCACAACACTAGAGAAACTGGATGACGTGGCTGAGAGACTGGTTACAGAGACAGAGACAATCCTGTGAGAGCTAGTGCCAATCTCCAAGCCCTTGCCATACTCCAAGCAATGGTAGACAAAGGACCTCACAGCACTCCAGAAAGGTACCACAAGGCTCAATGACAGTGGATGAAGCTTCGGACATGTGAATAGTAGGAAGAGATGATTGCCATTAAGAAGAAATACCAATGAGAAATCAAGAGGCTGAAGCAGGAACACTGGTGCACTTGGCTGACCAATATGCTAGATAGAGATATCTGGAAAGCAGCCAAGTATGCAACAGATTTGGGGGAGCAAGCTGGTCCCACCAAAATCTCTGCATTAACAAACTTCAGAGGGCAGGTTCAAGTAAACCCTGGAGCTAAAGGTGAGCTCCTTGCCCTTTTGTTCTTTCCAGAAAGCCCTAACCTCATCCAACACCACAGTGAACCCAGTACTACACAACTGCCACCATCAAAGATCATGAGAACAATGGTATTAGATGTGATCAAGAACATGAAGCCTTACTCAGCACCTGGATCTTCAGGGATATTGAATGCAGCTATCCAAGCAGCACCTGCCCTATTCATGGACCTCATCCTTGGAATCCTCACAGCATCTCTGTGACTCAAGCACTTTCCTCACTACTTTAAGAACTTCAAAACCATCATTCTATGCAAACCAGAGAAAGACAACTACATAGTTCCCAAAACATATTGCCTGATAACCCTGGAGGAAACACTGGGTAAGATGATGGAGTCTGTCATGGCAATATGGATGATGGAGATGCTGGAGCACTGGGAAAAGCTTCCTGACCACCATTATGGCAGTCACAGTAGGTGCTGCACAACTAACCCCCTTCTACTTGTAGCTCAGGCTGTGAAGGATGCCTGGTGAGTCAAGCAAGTGGCAAGCATGCTCTATCTAGATGTCTCACAGGCTTTTCCAAATGTGGCTCACAAACAGCTGTTGGAAAGGATGAAGGAGATAGGGGTTAGATGAGAGCACAATTGAATGGATGGCATCCTTCCTGAAGGAGCACTGGACAACATGTTGTAGTTTGATGACTATGTCCTCTGATCCCTTTCAAGTTCTAATGGGAGTCCCACAAGGCTCTCCCCTCTCAGTCATCCTGTACCTAATATACAGCTCAGGCCTCCTAGGTGTTGGTACACAGATCAAAGGTTCAAAGGAACAAGACTCTCAGCTTCATTGATAACATGGCCTTTGTTGTGGTTTCAAACAGCATTGCAGAGAACATAGAGAAACTCAAGCAACTTGCAGAGGAAGGACTGGAATAGGGCAGCTGACTCAGCCTCAAAATTTGATGTCACTAAGTACCAGCTAGTACATCATGCATGCCATTCTGACTCCTTTTGAGAACCAGCATTCTCCACTGAAAGTAGCCAAAACACTCATCAAACCAAAAGATAGCACTAAATACCTTGGAGTACACATCAACAAGAAGCTCAACTTCAAGGAGCACATGGAGTATACCATTGGAAAAGGAGTGACAGCAGCATCAGCCCTAACACAGCTCACCAACACAACATCTGGTATACCTCACAAGTTTATCTGATGACTGTTCATAGGCCTAATGGTTTCAAGAATGGAGTATGCATTGCCAGTCTGGTACAACCTGATACATGAGGACGAGGAGAGATGCCAAGGAGCAGTAGGAATGGCAAGGAAGATGAGCAAACCTCAGTGCTTAGCATGCAAGGTTATGGCCAGTGGTCTAAGGTTGATGTCCATGGAGACCTTAGGCTATCACATCAATGTCCTTCCCACACACCTTTGCATGAACCTTGCAGCTTACAAATTTGCAGTCAGACTGTGCACTCTCTCACCCTCTCACTCCCTCCAAAAGGTGGTAACACACTGCAAACAAGTCTCATGCTTCCATTGGTCGCTGATCCACTACCTCATGGCAGCATTTGAAGATCTCCACAAAGTTTGGAAGACTATTTCTGCTGGCAGAGCTGACATGATACGATCCACTGCTCTCAAGTTCAGTATGGCTGACTTCAAGAAGTCAGCAGAGCAAGATGTGGCAAAGTTTCTCAAAGGTGACCACTACATCTACTCTGATAGATCTGGCTTCAAAGCAAAGATTGGGATGGCTGCATGGATGCAACCATTAGAATCTGCTCCAAATGGGGAAGTACTACACTGTCTTCATCTGGGTCCTGAAACTCATCATACTGTCTTTGAAGTGGAGCTAGTAGGCACTCTCCTTGCAATTGACATTATCAAGAGTACATCTCACCTCACTAAGGCAACAATACTCCTAGACTCACAGGCTGCCATCCTGGTGCTTCAGTCTGGAAACACAAAGTTGGGAAAATAACTTGTAGAGGAGTTCCATGACCAGGTCTGCAAGCTTCAAACTGTCTGTCAAACCCTTTGTATCCACATCCAATGGGTCTCAGGACACTGTCAGGAGTGAAGGTAATGAGAATGCAGATGTTGGTGCAAAAGAGGCTGCCCAAGGTTCCTCTATGCCACTAGCTAACCCCTCTATTCTATCGCACCCTTTATCATGAAATAAGACTGCAGCAATCACTTTGTATACAAAGGCAACCAAGCAATATGTGAGCAAACCAATGGAAGACCTCAGCAAAAGGGAAATTCACAAGATGCTTCAACAATGCCCCACCCTCAGCCAAAGTACAATGGCTATACAGCACATTATCCTGACCCAAGGCCAGCCTTCTAACTCAGCTATGCTACTGGCCATATCTCCCTCAACAGCTATCTACACCATATCAAAGCAGCAGCATTGAAGAACTGTGACTACTGCAATGTTCCTTGAAACTGTCTCTCACTTCCTCCTATTCTGCTGCCAGCTACACAAATAAACAGCAAGTGCTCTGCCTGACACATGAAAATTGCCTAACCTACAACTTCATCATCTCATAAACACTAAATCCAAACATATTCACACAACTATCAGCTTCATCAACTCCACAAGACACCTTCCTAAATACTTCAAAATCCATGAAGATCATCCTCCCCCATAGAAGGTAGCTCAAGATGCATGCTCCTTGGCAGGAACCTTGTGCCTCTCTCGGGCATGCGAGGGGGAGAAACCATTTGCAGACATTCCTCTCACCTCTGCTGCGGAGGAAAGTGGTCAAAAGATACCCCCATAAACTGAACTAACAGAACCCTTATCTGAATGTATAGCTATCATGAAGTCCTTGTGGACACCTGCAAACCCTCATCCTCAAAACATGTGATCCCTCTCCCTTATTCTGAGCCCAAACTGGTCATTCATGGCATGACCAACTCTCCCCTGATTCTGAACTGTAATTACTGATACCAACTCCATAGAACTAGAATAACCGTACTTAGCACATTAGACAACTTAGCTGAAGTGGGCCGCTGCAAGCACAGCAGGTATGAGTCCGAAGTTTCACAAACTGCTTACAGATATATTTATATTCAGCTTAGCAAAATCCTGAGCATGGTGAGCTATTCTTACACAAGTATAGACTGTGTAATGTAGATTATATATTAGTATACATTTCATGGAATAATCATATACATTGAAGTCTACTACCTGTCAGAGAATAACAATGAAGACGATGCTGTATACATACAACATCATCAGCATATAAGGCTGACCCTCATCTGGCACGGTGATTGATATGAGTATTCAAAAAGATATTGATACCACCAGAAAATGTACCAGTTTTTGCAAATGATTGGTGGAGATGATGAGGTCCTATATTCCCTGATGTATGCAATGCAAATTCATGTCAGCTGTATTTGAGGAAGAATGATAAAAGGATGCATACATTCCATCTTATCATGTTAGAGAAAATCACACTCGTCAACAGCCATACTCGTACATTGATTCCACAGCCTCATTGGGACATGCAAGAGTTTGAGATGTGTAGGTGAGCTGAGTGGCATGGTGCAGCCTGATGTTAGAATGAGATAGAGTAGGCAGAGGGAAATTTCAGTATTGAGGTGGAGATGTTGTCAACATGATGAGCATGCAGTGGGTAGCACTGTGCTACTCTGTTTTGTATATATTCCAGGCCCTATATTGGCAGCAGTGGCATAGGCTAGGGATGAGGGAGAGTGCAAGGTAGGGATTGGCAGTGCCATAGAGCATCACAGGGAGATTGCAAGGGGAAATAGTGGCCACCATCAGATTTTCCAGTATGTAAAACAGAGGTGGGGGGTCCGACAGTGGTCATACAGTCAATGGAGGGTGTGGGATGCGGCGGGAGTGAGGGTAGGGTTGTCATCATTATCACTGGTGATGACAATATTGGAGAGGATAATGGGCCTGATAGCCATGATCCCCCATGTTGAAAATGGGGAATGCATGGAGATGGGGAGTATTTGGGACCTGGGGCAGGCAGTAGGGAGCAATGTTGGTATCAGGCAGGGGTGGCAGTGGCATGGCCATTGGTGCTCACATTGCTGTCATCTTGGTGTCATCCGTCACATACTGGAGAGCAGCATCAACGTTCAGATGGATGTTGCCATTGCTGTCTTTGTCAGATGTTGGGAGGTCAGTCTTCTCCTGCTCTCCCCCTTATACCCTTCTGCACTCCTGCACCTTCCCCAGCACATCCTCCTTCCACAGTGTCCATGCCCTAACCTCTTCCTTACCCCTCCATCATCCTTGGACCATCCCCACCATTCTCACCACTGTCGTTGTTGTCCTATTTGTTGTTGTTTTCATTGTCCCAGATGCTGTATGTTCGTTCCCTCTCCATACTTCTAGATGGCACCCAATGTTGGATACATGACTGCATTCGTGGTTGTTGGCTGGTGCAGATTCACAGTGTGTAGGTGATTGGCCTCGATGTCCTTAATGTCAATGCAGGAGGTGCTAGGTAGGAGTTGGCACCAGTTTTGGGAGTAACAGATAGCAGGAAAGGTCATAGACATCATCCTAGTCAATGAGATTTACTGCCATAGTGTTTTGTGGGCATCGCATGCAGTGCTGCCTCACATGAGGGCTTATGTGCAGGGTGGAGGGTGAAATGGGGCTCTTGAGGCTGTCAGATAAGGAAGAAGCATCTAAAATAGACCAATAAGTATTGAGATCAATGGAACATACCTCTGAGTTTGTATACCAATCCCAGCTGATTGGTGCATAATGCTGGTACGGTAGGAGAGATGAGTAATCAGATCAAGGATTGAAATACTGAGTGAAGTCCAGCTGCTAAGTTGTTACCATTAAAGGTGCATTGTTCGTCACTATTGAATTCTAAGGTAAAACTTAAAATGCAGGGTCCAGGTTCAAAATGTAGCACAAAAGAATGAATCCTTGTAAACTCAGACTCGTAACTCACACATCCAAGCTCAATGAACACTCCCTTAGAATACAGACCACAACATAGTTTACAACACCCACTAGTGCAATGTAGCCACAAGATTGTATGCATAGACCCTGACAGGGTCTCAGGTACTTTAAACAAGATTCATTCATTCATTCAAGGGCAAATATTGCCTTGCAAAAACTGAAAACGGAAAGTGTGACCACGTGTAAGGTAGCCGGCTTTGCCGCTTGCCGGCGCTACTCGTTATTTTCAAAAACTTAAATACGGTCACCTCAATTGAGCAAATCCACGTGCTCGGGGGTTCGCGTCGCGTTTGCTACCAATCGGCTAGCCTAATACGCCGCTCAACACTAGTTTGCCCTCTCTTCCATTCCATGGCGGCGAAAGACATCTCCGGTTTGCCTTCCGAACGTACGGACGGTTTCTCATACTACCGTGACCACGACATCCATATGGATACCGCCAAGGGGTTACCCATATCAGGGTTTGATATCCATATGAACACGGCGAAAGGGCTGACTTTTTCAAATGACATCAACATGCAAACCGCAAAAGGAACCTCGACCATCAAGCAGCCCGGACTTCAGTTGTGGGAGAGGGAGCTGCTCGATACGGCAGAGGTCAAACGCAAGGCCACCGTCGCCCAGTTATGTAGGTATTCTGTCGATCTCATCCGAGATAATCCTCATGTTGTCCAGATTTCCTCGATTATTACTTCCAGACGCTAGGGTACCTTGCTGCCCGCAAAGAACGGCGAGTCAAGTTCGACGAGGACACCAAGGCCCGCGATCTCAAGCCCTCCGAGTATTCCAAAGAGTTCAAGAGCTACTGTGGGCGTGAACGCGTCCTTCTCCGCAGGCGGCGTACCAAGCTCCGCGTCGACCAATTCCATATCATCGCCCAGGTGGGCCAAGGTGGATATGGAGAGGTGTTTCTCGCCAGGAAGCAGGAGACAGGGGAGGTCTGTGCTCTGAAAAAGATGAAAAAGAAGACGTTGTTCAAGATGGATGAGGTGCGTTCGTCGCCACTCGCTGGCGATATGAGGCTTACATCTTCCAGATCCGTCATGTTCTCGTTGAACGCGATATCTTGACCGCAACCAAGACGCCTTGGCTCGTCAAGCTCCTCTACGCCTTCCAAGACCCCCAATATGTCTATCTCGCCATGGAGTACGTCCCTGGAGGCGACTTTCGTACTCTTCTCAACAACTCAGGCGTCCTCAAAGAAGAACACGCGCGATTTTACATCAGCGAGATGTTCGCCGGCGTCAACGAGCTCCATAAACTTGGGTATATTCATAGAGACCTAAAACCCGAGGTATGATAGCACATCGAGAAACGGAACTGGCATACTAACGTACAAACAGAACTTCCTCGTCGATGGCACAGGACATGTCAAACTGACAGACTTTGGATTGGCCACCGGCGCACTGAACCCCCGACGAATTGAGTCTCTCAAAGCTAAGGCGAGTTTACCGATTAGTCCTATGCGGACACCATCTATAATACTATTATAGCTCGACAAAGTCAAAGATAACGAAATCATCCATAGATCAACTCTAGAACGCCGCTCTATTTATCGCTCTATCCGTAATGAGGACCCTCGTTATGCTGACTCCATAGTTGGATCGCCCGATTACATGGTTTGTCCTCGACTAGCAGGTGTTATCCTTCGCATTGACATTCCCTGCAGGCTCCTGAGGTTTTACGCGGCAAACCCTACACATTCTCTGTTGACTACTGGTCGCTAGGCTGCATACTGTTCGAATTCCTCGCCGGTTTCCCCCCCTTTAGCGGCAGCAACCCTGAAGAAACATGGACAAATCTCAAGAACTGGACAAAAGTCCTTCGAAGGCCCGAGTATGACAAGCCTGAGGACCTGGTGTTCAACTTGACGGACACGGCTTGGGATGCGGTAACTAGGTATGTTCATCAGTGAGATCCTATAAACAACCTCGCCCTGATGATGCGAAGATTACTCTCTCACGCAAGCGTCCGATACGCCACCCTGCCGCAAGTTTCCGCTCACCCCTTCTTCGATGGTATCAAATGGGATGACCTGCGTTCTGTCACTGCCCCATTTGTACCTGCTCTTGACTCTGAGATCGATACTGGCTACTACGACGATTTCACCTCTTTGGAAGACATGGCGAAGTATGCTGAGGTCCGCGAGAAGCAGAGGAACGTCGATCAAGTGAAGGAGAAAGATGAAGGATTCGGGAGGGGAGTATGGGTTGGGTTTACTTTTGGAAAGAATGGGCCTGGGGCCGGTGGGAAAATGGGTGGTCTGGGAGGTGGAAAGTATGACGATGGTGCCTTGGCGACTATTTTCTGAGTAGATACCCTGAATGAGAAGTAATTGCGTGTACATCGTCTGTTAATAGCATCTGGTTTGGAACTTTTATCCATAATCAAATTGCACAGGTAAACGTAATGGTGCATAGTCACGAAATAATAACTGAATAAGATAGAGCATGGTAAAACAGTGGACTTGGAAGGGCGAGTATATCACCACAAAAACATATCATCACCGCGTCCCCCGCCAACTTCATATACCTCAAATTTGAGGCTACACTTCATATTGTTCCGTGAGTAATTCAGCTCCGCTGAGCCGATCTCGACATCGCATGCTCCCAGCTTGACCGATTTCGCAAATGAAGGACCCCCACCTCGTGTCCACCGATTCCCTTTCAGCGCTTTCAGTTCGTCACCGAACAACTCCGCGATTTGTGCCTTGGTAGTCTAGGCGCAGTCAGTACATATACATAGACTATTAGCAGGAAAACCAAAACTCACGAAACGAATAATCGTAACCGCGCTCTTTGGCTTATTCTGGGGTGTGGGCTGTATCAAGACGCCCTTACCTCCGAATAGACCGTCAAACTCGGCCTGTTCGAAGACTTCGTCGCACTTGATCGTCTTGGATGTTCCTTGGAACTTGACGGTGTCGGATTTGCAGTCCTTCTTGATCCTTCAGGGATATCAGAACACTAATGACCAGCTGGCTGAAAGTGACGGCAACTGACCTGTCAAATATCTTTTTGAGCTGCATCTTGCGTTTCTTCTCGTCGGCTTTGCTCGCACCTGCCTTCACGCTGCCACTTGCGACGGACTGGGGTTCAGCGAGGATAGTGCTCGTCCTGGTGCGTTTTGCAGGAGGCCCTTGCACTTGTGCACTTCTCTTTGCCTCCAACTCATCCTCTAGCTAGAATGGCGCGTATTCAGCAGTCGTAAAATACAATTGCACGTCGTACTCACCTGAAAAATCCTTTGCTTCATCGCCTCGACCACCTATTACCGATAACATCATATTAAATCCATGTCGACGCGTCAAGAACTCAACTCACCAACGAGCTCGCCTCAAATTCCTTTGTAAGATCGATAGTCTCTATAAAACGGCGCGTTAGTCGCGTCTCCCACCAAGAATAATACTGCCACCGTACCTCCATCGACAGTCGTGATGGTGCGCTTTCGCGGGTTCTTCTTGCTGGCGACGTTGCTTATGTTCTCTTTGTCAACGACTGGGAACGCGATGGTAGCCTGCATTACCGGAAATGTTTTGCAGATGATGATAGTCGGAAGATGAAGAGAAAAGGAGGCCCGTCTAGGTCAAAACTTGCTTGAAAATGGATCTTGATTTTTCCCACGCCATCACCGCGCCAAGGTACGGCCTTTTATAGATTAACCGAAAACGGCCGGTAATATTGCGTGTGCAATTCCTCCTGAACTTGTCCTGAACCACGTTGAACGAAAGAACATGTTTCAAAATGAGACAGTATACACGACGGGTAAGGGTTAATCCAGGGGAAGGCTCGGTCTATAAGAGCTAAGGCTATGAACTGCTGTATTCAAATGCGCCAATTACAGATGCAGTATAGATTTTGATATGTAAGTCTAGTGACTCTAGAGCTTGAGGCTTTGACGACAGGCTTGAAAGATTAAAATTAATTCTTCCATCTTCAACCCAGAAAAATAGTAAGAAATTTGACAGGGTAGAAGCACAACAAAGTTCTTACATTTTGACAAGTCGGTCCCTCCCTCCGCTAACAATTTTATCAGCCACAAAATCGACGCAATAGACCTCATCAGTATGTCCCGGGAGGTCAGTCTTGATTTTATACGTTTTGAGATCCCATATCTATGCACAAAGATTGTCAGCCTAAAGCAATGAAAATTCGACGAACAGACTCACTTTAAGAGTACTATCTTTACTCGCGCTAACCAACAGCCTGCTATCCGCACTCCATGTCACTCGATACACTGCACCAATATGTCCTCGCAGAGTAGCAACATATTTTCCTGTCCGGCCTTCCCAAACACGCACACTGTTATCCCATGCCGCTGAAGCAGCCCACCGACCGTCTGGAGAGAACGCAACATGACTTATCTGTCGCTGGTGTCCCGTCAGTCGAGCCACAGGCTTCAATTTGCCTGAAGAAGGCTCAGATGCAGGTGATGATGAAGGGAAGAGAGACCACAAGAAAAGTGTGTGATCGTCTGAGCCAGAAATGAGCACTTCCGGCGTGGTGGCGAGTAGGGTCGTATATCTCTTCAAGGCAAGCTGTTGCGCTGAAGTACGTCTCAGTATTACGGAAAGAAGCAATAGAGCTAAGGCTTACCTTCTTCGTCTGACTGGGGTTTCTTGCCTGTATGATCAAATGGCCCCGTGCGCAACACAAAGTCCGTATTCAAAGCTAATGTCGTGACCCAATGAGCATGATCTTTGAGGGTATGAAGTGGTCGGCCCTTCAAAGAAAATGTGAGCGACGAGTACGATCAAAAAGGACCAAACTTACCGTCGTCGCATCCCAGACACGAACCGTACGATCGCTTGACGCAGTATATAAAACACCCTTGCCAACACCGCCCCACTTCACAACATTGACCGACGCTGTATGACCACCAAGGGTGTACTCTACTCTTCTTGTTACAGTAGACCAAACACGGACTGTTCCATCCTTGGACGACGAGGCCAATCGGGGAGCGGCCGCATTGAGATGTATGGGTTCCCAAGAAAGTGAAGTGACCCATTTCGTGTGTCCTTTAAGCGCATCTCCAATCGGCTTCCCAGTTTTCGGGTCCCATAGGCGAACATGACCATCATGACCGCCAGTTGCAAGCTTCCTCTCCATCGCCTCCCATTCCACACAAAGAACCCAGCCTTTGTGGCCCGAAAGTACATGAGACGGTGTCTCCGTATTCAAGTCCCACAACCGAGCAGTTCGTGTCTCCAGAACCGGTAGCGAGGAAGTTTCCGGTCGGTGAAAATGAAGCGCAAAGAATGGGCGAAGTGTGTCCTCCAAGAGACGATGAACATCTGGTCGCTGGTCGTACACGGAATACGCTCTGAGGCGAACATCGTACAACAATCACGTCTTCTTCGGTGAACGAATTTGACGGGTGGTCGATAACATCTGCCTCTATTGACTTGGATATCACGATCCGAGTTGGTGCAGTGGCAGGAGCATCTTCGTCGTTTGGTAGTGTAACATGGAATAAAAAAGGAACGGGATCTTCATCCTACATATTCAGTCAGTTTCCAAGTCTGTGAATAAATACTCCACGAAACGCACCTGTGTATTTAGCTTATTCACCAGAGCCTCTAATCCTTCTCTTGATACATTAGCAGGCAAGTTCACAGCTGGTGCGAGAGGTCGGCCGTCATCATCCGATACGAACTGAACGAGAATGTTGAGAGGCGGTTTTGGTGGTTCTGGCGCTGGCTCGGGGACGCCATGATACAACTTGACGCGCTTAGGAGGTGGTAACAGAGTAGCCATGATAATTTTTTTGGCCGGCGGTACCGGCATGCGACCCTTTCCAAATGCGGTCGCACAAATTAGTGACTCAAAAAGTAACAAGATATTCCATTGATACAGCACATACCCAAACCCAGTAGAAGAGAAAGCATATAAAACTAGCTAGAGGCACACTGCGTAAGTATATATATGAGACGTCCATGGCGGCTAAGTATATGTCGTGAGATAGTGAGTATAACATGTCTAATGGTACACGATGCGCAAACAGAAAACGAGAGCAGCAGAAACCCGAAACCCAAAAACCAAAAATACCTCCCATTAGTATCCTCCATCTGGATCCATCCACCGTGCGGGACGCACACGCCAATGCTTCCCTCCAAGTCGTGAGGCAGCCCTTTCAGCTGTGAGTTTGTTGATAATGTTCAGCAAATCACCCCGACGAAGAGGTTCTGAACGATGATAAGTCAACAAGAAAACGCTACATCGACCTCGACTTACTCGTAATATGTTCGTCCTGTGGATCAAACCCGTCAGTAACTGTAGTACACTATGCGCGCGAACAACACACGTACCATGCCCGCTTGCATACAACGTTCCCTGTCACCAATCACTGAAATCGCAAATAAGAATCTCAACGAAACCAAAGCCTAAAAAATACGTACTGGCATGAGCAGTCAAAGCAATTATTGGTATAGGCTGCAAATCGGCGTGCATTTCATACGCCCTAATCAACTCCGTCGCCTCCATACCACCCATGAACGGCATCGAGACATCCATCTAAAGTACGTCATTATCAGGAAAAACAGTCAAGGAACTGGAGGGTAAACCTACCAAAATGATATCGTATGGCCTGTTCTGCAACACTCGTCTTTTAAACGCCTCTACCGCGCTATTACCATTCTCCGCAATTTCGACGCTATGTCCGTACTTCTCCAAAATCTTCACGGCTAGTTGTTGGTTCACAACGTTATCTTCGGCGAGAAGAATATCCAAGGTCGTATCATTTGGTACAGTCACCGGGACCACAGTATTCGATTCCAGAGCGGATATTAACGCAGCTGAAAGGTCATGAGGGGTTATCGGCGTCGTGACCTGAGAGCTGATGCTATTGTCCAAGCACCACTTCACTGGAAGAATTTCAGAAGGGATCATCGTGTGGATGAAAAGATACTCACAGTTAAGCCGGGGCATATATGGAGCCAGCAACACAACAGGTATGTAGCGAAGATGCTCGTACTCCCGAAGGTTCTCGGTCTGTGAAGAAAATGGTATTGACATGCCTAGAAGATCAGAAAAGGAGTAGACACTCACAACAGCCAGAGAGTCGGCCACAATAGTATCAATGTGTGGACATTTTGCTTTATCCGCAACCTCAGAGACAGAATGGACCACATGAACCTTTAGACCTAGATTCCGTATGCTCGTCGCTACCCCTGTATCATCACCTAGGCTGTCCATATAAAGGATCGTTCGCTTCGAGAACGGTGACATCTTGGACAAGATATTATCCATGGAGCTATGGCTGATCTGTGAGGTGATTGTAAAGAAAAACTTGCTTCCCCTTGCTACCTCACTCTCGACCCACATATTCCCTTGCATCAAATTGACCAGACGCTTCGAGATTGATAGTCCTAGACCTGTCCCGCCGTATTCCTGGTAGAACGACTATCAGCCGAACGTACAGAAAATATAAAGGAACTAGCCCTAGTTGTTGATCCATCCGCTTGACAGAAAGTATCAAATATGATGTTCAACTTTTCTCTCGGTATACCAATACCCGTGTCACTAACACAGAACTCCAGCGTCACATTCTGGTCATCGCACGCCACTAGCCGGCCATAGAATCCAATGTGTCCTTTTTTCGTGGGTTTGGACCGCGTAAACTTAATAGCATTGCCCACCAGATTAGTGATGACTTGTCTCAGACGTAACGAATCGCCAATGAGCTGATCGGGGATATCAGGAGAGATGTCGAAGGTCAAGTCAAGGTTGTTTTGATTCGCGCGCACGACTAGCGTCTTAAGAATGCCGAACACCGTTTGACGGAGAGAATACGAGACAGCTTCCATTGTCATCCGGCCAGCTTCGACTGCGTAGAAAGGCAGGTGAGTTAGGTCGACTCTTTATCCGCCAAGACTCACTCTTGGAAATATCCAGAATATCATCGATGATTAACAGTAACGACCGCGCTAGACTATGGACTAACAGCAAGCTCTCTCGCTGAGATCTATTCAGATCACTGTCGAGCGTGAGCTCCGTCATACCGATGATCCCATTCATCGGCGTCCTATGCGTGTGTCAGATTAAACGACAGACACCAGGCACGTTAACTCACCTAATCTCGTGAGACATGTTGGCCAAGAACTCACTCTTACTCCTGTTTGCCAATTCAGCCGCCTCTCTCGCCGCAGTATTCTTCTGGATGCTATCTCTCAAATTGAAGACCATACTGTTGATATGCGACTTCAGTGAGTCCATCTCTCCGCTCGCTTCAACGGTAATGAAACGAGTGAAGTCACCATCCATGGCAGCTGCTGAGATCTGGGCAAAACCTCGCACTTGGGTGGTCAAATTTCCTGCCATGGCATTTACGGACAACCTGCTTGGAGATAAGAACGCAAGCGCCGGTGAGCACAATAAAAACACCTACGTGATCTCCTGCCAGATACCTTGGACATTACCTACGTCTGCTACACCACCTAACTTTCCTTCGGTTCCAACCTCACGCGCGACTTTCTTCACCTCGACAGCAAAGATATCAAGCTGGTCAATCATCTTGTTGATCGTCTCGACCAACTCCAACATCTCCCCAGAGACCGATACGCCGACGATCTTTTGCGTTAGGTCGCCGTGCGCCACAGCGGACTGAGAGGTAGAGATATCAGCGCCTTGATACGAACCGGTGAATAGACAGGACGCACCGTCGCGATTGCAATAACCCGGACTTGGTTAGTCAACTAGACGGCTGGTGAGCGGTAATACCCAGGAGTGAGAATGCACAGTGTCACATACGTTGTTAGCCATGACGTTGACATTATCGGTCAAATCCTTCCATGTTCCAGCGACATTCTTCACCTGAGCCTGGCCACCCAGTCTTCCTTCTGTGCCGACTTCGCGCGCAACCCTCGTTACCTGAACAGAAACATCATAAGGAATGAGCAGAGACAGGTCCAAGTCATAAATTGCACCTCATCAGCGAAGACACTCAAAGACGATGTCATCTGATTGACAGTTTCTTTTAGCTCGAGGAATTCCCCTTTCACATCAATCTCGACGCGCTTGGACAAGTCGCCGTTCGCAACGGCCTTCGTGACTTGAGCGATAGACCGCACTTGGTTCGTCAGATTCATAGCCATAAGGTTCACGTTGTCTGTTAAAGCCTGAATCGAAATGAGCGGCCGTCGCAAATAATTACTGCGTGATCTAACCTTCCATGTTCCGAAAACTCCGGGTACGACAGCCTGCCCTCCCAATTCACCCTCCGTCCCAACCTCCAGACTAACACGCGTCACTTCGCTCGCAAAGACACTGAGCTGCTCAACCATCTTGTTGACAGTGATCTTCAGGTCCAGCATTTCACCTTGAGCGTCAACGTCGACAAGCTGAGTCAAATTTCCTGTCGCCACAGCTTTGGTTACCTTCGAAATTGACCGCACCTGGTCGGTCAGATTGTTCGCCATCTTGTTCACGTTCCTAGTCAAATCTGCCCAGGTACCCTTGACACCTTCGACCTTCGCCTGACCCCCGAGGATACCTTGTGTACCAACTTCCAGAGCGACACGAGTAACCTCGGATGCAAACGCATTCAAATCGTCCACCATGGAATTAACCGTTGCCTTCAACTGATGCATCTCGCCCTCAACCTCGATTTCCACTTTCCTTGTCAAATCACCCTCTGCAACTGCCGTCGTTACGGAAGCAATCGATCGAACTTGATCCGTCAAGGATAAGCACATTCGATTGACGTTCTTCACGAGCTCGAACCAGACGCCCTCGACATCTTCCACAGTCGCTTGACCACCCAACTTGCCCTGGGAACCAACCTCAAGAGTTACACGGGTAACCTCAGCGGCTAATGCTCGTAACCGGATGACCATTCCATTGACGGTATTCTTCAGGTCGAGAATCTCCCCTCGTGCATCGACCTCGATTTGCTTGGATAGATCGCCAACGGCAACAGCTTTGGTGACCGCAGCTATGGATCGCACTTGACTCGTCAAATTTGCTGCGAGGTTGTTGACGACATCAGTCAGTTCTTGCCAAGTGCCTTCAACGTCAGGAACGACAGCTTGACCCCCGAGTCTTCCTTCTGTACCGACTTCCTGAGATACTCGAGTTACTTCTTTCGCGAATTTGCCGAGTTTCTCAACCTAAATATAGACAGTATTAAAAGAGGAGATAATGCGAAAAATAGGGCACGCACCATAGTGTTGATAGCGTCCTTGAGACTGACCATTACCGCGCCACGAACCTCAACAGTAATCTTCTGACTAAGATCGCCGTTGGCTACCGCATTGCAAACTCTAGCGACATCCTGCACCTGATCTTTGAGAAGCTTGAGCTCTTCGACGGCACTTAGACCACTTTCCACAGCGGCGGTGGCCAAAGGACCACTCGGGGCAACAATAAGTGGTGAACTGGGTGAAAGTTTGATTCCAAACGACGACATCTTCTTGACTAGATCTGGCTCGGTAAATCGAGTGCTGCAGGTCGGACAATAAACGAACTCGGCAATTGGAGATGCAGAGGATATGTCGGCAGCCTGCACGGGGATATTTTTATGGAAAAATGAAGGTGCTGAATCGCTGGATGATAGGTCATCGAGGTTGATAGAGGCCGGCACCGCAGTCGGCGCACGGGTAGGTGTGGTAGTCGTGAATTGCGTAGGCGGAGGAGTCATTGTCGTCGCCTTTATGGTAGCAGAAACCTGCTTAGAGTCGGTGCCGAGAGACCAAAGAGCCTTCTCAGCACGGTACATTCTCCCGGCAAAGTCAGAGAGAGTACGCAAGATAGAATCTGTCTGCCAGTCGGATGGGCCGGTATACTTGGGCAAAGAGAGGGATCCAGGACCCAGGGCATAGGCAGAAAGTAGGGCTATGAGGTGAGATCGAAAGGGATCACCGGGATCGTAGCTCGCCATGGTGGTCGATGAGCAAGAGCCTTTCGGCGACGAGCTCGTAAATGAATGGAAGGATGTGAGAGTGCTCGTGAGACGGGTGATTAACCACGTGCGGGCTGATCCCCGTTTCCCCTTTTAGCACCACTTCCGGCAGTCACTGTGCAATGATAAATTAACATTCCATTTCACTTGCGGAACTATCTGTATGAAGTGGCGACGACCAAGGAACGGTCTACTACTAAACGAAGGATACTATGTTCCGCCAAGAACTGAGCCAAGGTCATTGAGTATAATGAAACTCAGCGTTGCCTGTATATGAAAGCGTCAAGTTCCATCGCTTCGGACAACTGAGACTACAAAAAGTGTAGCACGTCTTTGATTTGTTTTCTACGTGACATCCTTCGCATGTGCATTGTTTCTCGCCGACCTCTCTCCTTTTGGGAGGTTGTCCTGGAAAAGGTCCCACGAGAAACTTAGGTGCGGAGTAGGGAACCGCAGTTAAAGAAAAGAACTGTACCATTTGCCCACGATACTTGCATCTATTAATGTTATACCTTCTGACATTTGCGCGTAATCAATACTTTCAGCGTCCAGTGACTTGTGCCCCGCCAATCCTGTGATACTGGGGTTGCCTAATACTCCGATCCTTTCTTTAGTAGATGGATGGATAACGATGTCGTATTTTGGGAACTTATCCGTCCAGCTTAGAACTCTTTCCAAGAAGAATCATGGTTCCGTGTCAGAGCGAGGGGCTCCATCCAGAGCAACACAGTCCCAAGATGTCAACTGTAACACCAAGCCTTAGTTCTGGGTAACGGCGACGTAATAATGACTCAACCGGACGTCGCTAGCTCCCCTTTCGACAGTCGCATAAGTACTGTAAGACAGGTACTGAAACCCCCACTACGGTCTTCACTGCGCAGGTTTCCACGCCAATGACAAGAAACCCCTGCTGTAGTGTGCCGTGAGGAGCGAGTAGGAACAACGCATAGAGCGATAGATGGTTAACGGAGCCTGGGCATCGACATCGTGGTGAGAAGAACCTTCAGCTCTGTCACTGTTCGGTTAATCAGTCTGGCGAACGATATTTCTACGGGAAACCGCGCCTTATTTTCATGTATACTGGAAGCATTCGACGCAAACTGATGTTGACCAGCGGTCGCAATATGACAGAGGCTCCCGGGAGCATCACTGAATTGTGCGCCGTTACGGGGGATTACTCCTTGGATAATGATCGGGAATGCAAGCATCGGAGAATGGAAGTAACACACGCAGTAAGTAGTGTGGTTACTGCCCAGGGGCTTCATTGAATGCAAGGTGGCGCGCGCCACATATAGAATCCGCGATGGCAAGTCGAAAATGGTACGCCTCGCAGAATCCGACCCATAGACTTACACACGTTTGACCTCGGTTTCCATCGTTTTCTCCATAGAAAATAGGTAGCAAAATTAGCACGAGCCCGACGAGTAGATAGCTGGAACAAGCACAGTGCGCAGAACTGGTCCAGAAACTTGCATAATAATAGATGAACGTTATGGCATGCAAAGCTCCAAGCCCTATAGACCCGTTAGTTCTCTTGGTATAACCCAACACAGTGTGGTCACAACTCACAGATTATCGATCATCTCGTGCAGTTACTTAGAGAAATGCTTCTCTTGAACACATTAATCTGCATGGCGTCGCAAAGTGGCAAGAGTTATCTCAGACGAAAGCGAGTGCGAACGGCGCCATCTTTTGGCTACTTATTCATCCCCGGAGCCACATCGGTGAAGTGATTGCATTCCCTTTACTCTAGATCCGTAGAGTAGCAATTCAACCTGTCGAAGTACCTACAGGTCTGAGTTCTTCCCGGCTCTTCTCGTCTTAGTCTCGACCACGATTGGAGGGTGATCTGTCCCGGCGAACTGAGTAATGGACCCCGAAATAGCGCCATGCTGTTCAATCCTCGTGATAAATGCCGCAGGCAAAGGAACCAAACTTGAATCAGGCTGCGAGGGCCTTGAACGTTCACGGCCATCGAGATCGATATCGTCCGTGATAATTGTCCAAGTAGAAGCCAATTCTGTGTAAGCAGTTCGCCACACTAACTGGGGGTTGGTGCTATAACATGTCATTCAGTTTCACGTCTCAGCTCAAGCGTGCATCTCGGAAACTGAAGAGGCATGAGGCTCCAGCTGACAGAAAACGTTCTCGAACTCTAAACAACGGGAGTTTTCAAACTCCCAGCTGTTTGCTGTACGTTGATGGCATTCTCAGGCTAACGAGAGTGCATTTCACTGACATATCTTGGAAGAGATAATTTAAGCAAGAACATCCGAGCCAACGTGGATTGAGGGAGATAACTTACGGCTGATAAGTAGCCCTCCGAACTACTTGCTCCTAGAAGCACCGAGGGGTGAAGAAGTAAAGCCTTGCTTAGCATAATCATTTGCGGACGAAAGGAGGGAGAGTAACCTGATCTCACAGAGTATTAGGCGGTACATAAAACAGTTCGTTTTTAGTCATCACGTGGTCCGCGTCTCGTCTCAATTAGTCTCAAATTTGAATTCAGGACCCAAAAGACGCGTAGCCTTTTCCAAACTTTTCCCATGGTCAGGAAGAAAGTCCTGCAATATGAACAGAAGATCGACTTGGAAATTTCAGAAATAAGGCTCTCCGAACACTGGCCGATGTTCTCTATCATGACCGTCAACCTTTCAAGCTTCCCGGGATCCGTGCTATGTTAACCAATTTCAACTCTCTCATTTCAACTTCAACTGGCTTCAAATCAAAAGGGGGGTATGTTCGATGTGCATGCATTCATATTATTCTCTAATTCACATGCTACCTGTCTTCCTCGTCAAGCTCCCCCGTAGGGCTGCTCGATTTCCTATAGATAGGCTCGTCTTCTCATTCACACTGGATTCATCTCTGCTGACAACATGAGCCGTGAATGCTACTTCTGTGCCAGTCGTCTTAGCTCCCGACATTTCCTACACCCGCATCCAGATCCGTGAAGAATGCCCGTACCAGAACTGTGGATTGTATCAGGGCACCCAAACGGCTGGCTCCGATATCGGCGAGCTGCGGCTGTTGTGGTAAGAGCATCAATTGATGTGCTTATAGTTCAAAAACGCGAGGACGAAACGTTGGGTAGATGGGTTAACAGGTGGGGGCTCTAGAGATCCAATGCCCCACTGCCAGTGATCCGTCAACCGACGCTCTGACCCACCTCCGTGTACCAAAAGTGAGGAATACACGACGAATGACATACAATGGTCATCATCGTGTCGTCAGTAGGCCACTATTTCAATGCCTTTGCTACAGTTGAATTCCTCTAAGTGCCATGCATGATTTGAACTCAATTAAATTATACTGCTAACCGTACACTTTATGTCCCATAATCAGACCTTCTCGTATCCCTGTCAATCGTGGTATTAGACATGAATTCAAATGTCTAATATCGTTGCTGTGGTGAGTTTTCTCCCTTTCTTGGGCTTTGTCACCGTACTCATCTTTCTGCGCAGTTCAAGAGTAAGTTGAACTCCGTTAAGTACTTGGTCAACTTTTACTGATGTTCCTACTACCTCCTTTCAGCCAATCTTGACAACAAATATGGCATGTGGGGCCGAGGAGCCTAAGCTTAGGACCTGCACGAGCTCTCAGGCGGTCTTGTCCGAAAGCCTCAGTCTAGTGGGTAATATCGTGGTGTTAAATCATGCAAGCTTTCAGACTACAACACTCCATACTCAAAGTCTTCACTGAACCTATGTTGTAAATAATCAAATGGTCAGATTAGCGCACCCTGGCTCCACAAGTACTTCTCTACAACAGACTAACGGTCAACCAGCCACACGAACGAGCATGAACGGTATACTACGGCTTCTTCTCGACAGGTCACGCACCTGCCCACACCCAACGCGATCAACCTCTCAGCCGCTGATCCCTGCGTGCCGGCTGACAAGCCTTCAAGATAATGGACTCAACCTGACCCCATCCTTCACCCCCCTTTACCGAAACGAGAAAAGGGAACAACCTATCTAGATAATGAGCAACACTCGCGTAGCAGTGAACCCTTGTACCGATCGCACGGAAGGTGCGCAATCTATGGGAGAACACACCACCGTCCCGAAGCGGTGAATCCCATTCAGGAAACGTGATAGGTAAGGCTAGGTCGGTCAAGTGGGGACAGTGTTTCGCTAGGGTGGCGAGGATTCCATATGTCAGAGACGTTTCCCAGAGAGACATAATATGAATTAATCTAATTTCCGGCCAGCTTGTAGCGAAACGATGCTCAATATCGTCGTTGTCCAGGCAGAGCGTACCGTGATAAATGATTTTCTGAAGTTTGGATAAATCATAGAGCGGCTCTGTGGCAGCTCTCAAAGTTTTCCAATCTGCAAGCCTGTGTTGGCTGTGGAACAATATCAGACTTGTAAGAGATGGAAATCGGAATGCAATTTCCACATGAAAGGCTTGCACGAAACCTACAAGATCAGTAACATCCTTGTCGGATGTGTCGCGATAAGTCAAGGAAGTCAAGGATCCTTGACGGATTAGCCTAAGGATGTGGGGCATCAATGAAATATGAGCGTTGATATGAAGAGATTTCAGGGATGGGAATGCGATCTGTGCCTGACGTTTCTGGTGCTTGTCGGTTTGAGTGATGACGACCTGGAGCTCAGCAAGGTGAGGTAGCGAGGAAAGCTGAACCAAAAAATTGAGGTCGACCGAGTACGCTTCGATATTCAATTTACGCAACTGGCGCAAATTAGAGAAGCTGCTGAAAAGACAGATCTTTTCTAAGGGGCCGCGCGTATCATGTCCCCCAAGAAAAGAAGGTCCTTCGGGAGCGATGGTCAATGACCCAAGTCCTGGTACTTTCCATCCAACCGTCCATATAGCCATGAATGTTATATCAGCTTACTGAGTCCGAAGGGAAAGTGATCTTAACTTCATCTAGCCGAGGACTGGACAAGAATAAGAGTATGCAAGGGTCGGCGGCAAAAACCAGATCAACCGTAAGCTTCTGCAATTCGGGAAGAAGGGGTTTTTGTTTCTCAGCAAGGTGTAGGAAGATGGTTGGGGAGTGCGATTTGCGCGAGTGCGCATCAAGAGTGATAGAGCGGATACGACTCGAGTATCGGTCGAATCGGGCCCATGTTTCGTCTGATATGGCATCGGGAGGTATCTACGAACATGAGTAGTGATTTGATGTAAAGTGGGATCATGACGTATCCATGGGAGATTGTTGGATGAGAGGGCACTAGGGAAGATAGACAATAACGGTTTCATCCCGCTTATGTCTTGCCAGAGGTAATTCAGAGCTGTCTCACAAGTAGCATGGCATGTCAAAGCCAGGGCACAGAGGGTTTTGTTACCCATTCTGTAGTGTGTAGGAAAGAGTTCGATGAAGCCAAGTTCTTCGCGGAGAAACCAGCATATAATGTCGAGTAGAGATGGATTGTACAAGACACATTGGGCTGGGCTGCTAGCGGGTTCCATTGAGTGAAAAATGAAACGAGGTCCTGGGGAGGGTGGCTTGGGAGGCTCATGCCTAATGATTCGGAAACACAATTTTTATGTCATGCATCGTGGCTGGATGTGAGAAATAGAAGAGGCCGAAAGCATGGTTAATTGTCGCCCTAAGGCCGCTGGAAAGCCACGTGTATCACAGTCGAATCTCATCGATGGTCTTCAAGATGGATACTCCAACCAACGACTAACCTCGTGTAATACAAGTACTCTGAAACGGACAACAGTCAAGATTTAAGACTTGAAGGTTTGCAAGTTGCCAGGAACAGAGGGCAGGTTCTGACGAGCGTCAGACTTACGCCTTGGTTCAAAAATAGAATCTAGATCAAAGGTTATCTCGCTGTCGAGTAATAAAGGATGAATGAAGGTGATCTGAATCGTATTTAGCATCGTTAGCGAACAGAAACAGCTATAGAACGGAACGGGTTCTCTGGTAATTCTTGCGGGACTGATCGTTGACCCATTTCGTATGGACTTGTAACGAGTCGCACCGCATAAACTTGGAATTTTTAGTCGAGAGACAATTGCTCTAGACTTGGTAGACGTCACCGGAAGGGAGCTGATTCCGAAACTCGGTTCAACAGCGCTACAGATCCTCTAAGCCGGCACTTCAGCTTAGGGTCAAGTGACGCGTCTCAATGAACAAAGCGTGGCGATCTTCAGGCGCTTCCGGATACTGAAATGGAACCGCGACAATGCTTCAGTGCTCCCGCGAAGATTGAGACAATGATGAACTGGCCATATACAGGCCAGATTTCTGCCGTCCAGATCTGAGTTCAATGAATTCGTAAAGCATGAGTTCTTTCGGTGTTCGATCAAAGTACAAGAAAACCAGGCATATAATACCAAGTCGGTCCGGATAATACAGACCATCTGGACTCCATGTCGAGGAACGAACGAATGAAAAGGACCTCTAGATCATGATTCTGAGGCAAAGTATAGTCAAGTGGTGCCTGGATTGAACTCCCTGTCTTGATGCATCGTGGCTCGCTGAGAAATGGGGGAGAAACGAAAAAAAATGCGGCGTGTAGCATTGAATTTCATCTATAGTTCAACAGTCCGATGCGTGGAGTAATAGAGCTGCCTTGGCACTGTCGTTCGAGACCACGCAGCGTAAGCGGGTCTAGTGGATGCGTACGAATTACCAGACCATAAGACCGAACTTGGCGGGAGTTGACCTTGGAGGCAACAGAAAAACCAATTCCAGTCGGGGGCGAGTTTCTACGTCCGCGTCGACGTTCCCGCGAAGATTGCAACAATGATGAAATACGAGTCTCGTCAAGACCATGTTTAGCAGGAGGCCCAAGTTGGCGTACAGATTCGCCACCCGAAGACAATCAATCACCCTTATCGTGAGATGGACGTATCAGGTATGATTGCCTTTATGTTATAGACCCAACGATGCTGATAGAACGACACCTCTTCGTTTATTGAGATACAGAAATACAAAGCGTTCTTCACGGCGTCGAGGCGGCCGAATCCAGGTCCATACTGTCGTCTTCGGCGGCCATAACAAAAGTAGAAAACTGGTGCAGCTGACGCCTAGCATTACACAAGTCAGTAACCCAGCACAAAACCCCGACAAATCACACACACGGACCTCTTCCCATTCCGAAGCTGGGTGAGCATCCTGATAACCTCATCCTGCTCTCTCACAAGAAGCTCGCCACCCGGGAGATCCAGCGCGAGGCGCCTGGCATTCGCTACGGCATTGCGAAAATCGTTGGTCTAATAATGCCGTCAGCGCGAAAAAGAAAGCAATACAATCGGTCGAGCTTTGGCTTACCGCATGCAATAAAGCCTGCTTGGCTTGCGGCGTCGTAATTCCCTCCGACTGTTGCACGAGGTCGAGAACGACGACAAGTTTAGTGATGAGGCTCTGGTAGAGGGATGATGGAAGAGCCATGCGGCCGGGGCCTGGACCGTGACCCCCGCCTGCCAGTTCTTCCTCTCTCTCTCTTCTGCCTCCATGTACCGCCACCATCGTCATTAATCCTTTCCCAGCAACACAGTGCTCTAGACAGCGCCGGCACCGACGTTGGCAGGGGGAAAGCATCATTCAGGGTCGTGCTTCTGATTCTGAAAGATCGGATTCGGAGGCAGATGGACAGCATGGAAATGCGACTTTTGTTGATTGCTCCATTCCTATTCTCTGCCTTTCACTCCCACCACTATGCAGGTTCGTCCTTTTCGTCTCCCCTGGTACCTCGGTGGAGCTCATCGTTTCGTAGCTGCCAGCAGAGATTGTGTGTATCGTGCTTGATGAGCTGCGCGACGACGAGGAGGCGCTGAGAGCATGTGCTGTTGTGTGTACTGGGTGGACGCCGATTGTGCAAAAGTATCTCTGGCGGAAGCTCGAGATAACACTGCACGTACGGACCAAGTCACATCTACCACCTTTCAAGCCGACAGTCAGGATAGCGCCCGACATACGGCCTTTGTACAAAGCATTCAAGTCGTCACCCCATCTCGCTGGAAATGTCAAAGAACTCGCAGTCAAGATACACGGCGACTACTGGCGCTATACCTCTCTTTCAACTATCATCTCAAACTTCATCGTCAGCAGAATATCCAGGATATGGCACCGCTACCTGCCATTTATTCTTGAAAGCCTCATTAACGTCGAACGATTCTCTTTCACCAATTACCTTCTACATCCTTTACTCACCACATGCCCTGATACCGTCAGAGACGCGTTCATTAGCGTACTCCGGCGGCCCGACCCTCAATACCCTCTCAATGCCATTCGGCTCAGCGCTAGAGCTCTTCACAATGCTCTGCGAATGCCCCCACCTCTCAAGCCTCTCCGTAGGCATGATCACCTGCCGCAGTCACGTCGACCTTTCCCTTTACCCCCGCGTCCCCGCCCTCACACCCAACTCGCTCCTCGTATCCTGCGGCAAGTTCTGGTACCTCCGTCTCCTCAACCGCGAGTTTCCCTTCCCAGTCGTCGATCCACTTTGACAACCTCCACCGGATACAGATCCATGTCGGCATGTGCTACGTCGTCGGCGACGTCAGCGTGGTGAACACCACTGAGGAGGTCATAAGGAGAAACAGAGCTACTCTTCGGCATCTTGCGTTGAATGTCTGCTTAAGTGGTATGTTCTTTCTAATTGTAGTATCCATAAGCTAAACAAGCTATATAGAACCTCTCACGACCCTCATTGATCCAACCACACTCCTCTCCGTCGACTTTCAAATCCACTCTACCTCGCGCTCAAGTCAAGAGCACCCCGCTCCCAGATCCTGGCTTGACTGGCTCATCACCTCCTTCCCCGTCCCATCCGCCGACGTCTCCATCGAATCCTGCACCCTCCAACTCGTCCAGTTCTGCCTACTCGAAGACGTGCGGATGTTCTACGACAAGTGGGAAGCTTTAGATGCGATATTCACTTCGTGGCCCCGCCTAGGAAAGCTGTCCGTGCAGATTCAGAGACAGCCTTACAGAGCGGTGTTCTCCCCCGAGTCGGACACCAGGTTTCCTGTCACGAGAGTTGATGTGCAGGAGATGTTTCCGCGTATGACGAAGGAAGGAAAGTTGGTCGTAATCGAGACTCAAGCTGGAAGTTTTTGAATTGGAATGTATGTATGTATATCGGAATTATTATGACTGTTCTGGATGGATATTGTCCGAGTCGGCGAGGTGCTATTCTTGCAATGGCAGCACAGGATGTGAATAGAACCCGATTCAGACAATAACCTGAAGACAATTTTATCACGCGTGGCCTATTATCGTCTTGTATCATTCTGTAATCAATAGAGCACGGTTCCTTTAGGAAAAACAACTGATGATTTTGAAGTTGCTGTCAAGAATGCTATGTCTGTGTGCCCTCTTGCGCCACACATTGCGTTGATGGTGGTGGTGGTGACATCAATATGTATGCAGCGGTGATCCAACGGATAGATTGTACCTGAGTGTACACTAATTTCGACAGACAAGCATAGGCCAGGGGGAATCACGTTAATTCGTAAAAGTTGACGACATAAAAGTACCAGTATTACCACGGAAAGCATAGCGAAAAAGACAGTAAGTAGGTATAAATTAACAAAGGTATCATCTTAAAAAGTCCTCGTGAAAGGAAACGTAAAGGTGCGTGGTAGGTTTAGATACGACGAGAGGACCAGTCCTTTCGAAGGTACTAAAGCGATTATGAGTACAAAACCAGGGCGAGGGGGGGAAAAACAAACTCACCCTCGGGCGCTTCTCAATAGCCTCATCATCAGAGCTTTCATCCAACATAGTAATTGATTTACGCTTAATGCGAATCACGATATAGGACTGGTCCTGTTCCTGGCCACAAATGAGATAAGCTGTCAAAATTCAGGAGAACCTGCTAAGCGGACTAACCGGCGGGGTCATGAGCGCAGAACTACAGAACGAGCCACCAGAAGAGTCCGTATTGGGCACGCCGCCGTCGCCATCCGACCACGCGGAGAAACATGAAACAAGCTCTGGCCCGGGCGGCGGGGAGCGGCGGCTATCAGGGATGATGATTGGCGGGAGCCGCCTTGTCTCGGGGACTGGGACCTGTGGATATATAGCCTCGGACGCCGCGTGGACGAGCGCGCTCCCTGGGTGGATAGAGTCGTCGATATGAGGCAGTGGGACGAGCGAGACGTATGTCTGGGGACACGCGGCGGCTTTGGGGACGTTAACAGTGAGGTGCAGGCGGGCGGCGCGTTTACGGGCGTTATGCGTGGGGCGGACGGAGGCGCGGTGGGAGTCTGCGATGTATTCGTACTGCGCCTTTGAGTGGCGCAGTGTGTTGGCGAGGCGGGCGAAGCAGTGGGCGGGGAGGGATCGAGGCATAAGAGCTAGAATAAGCACGCACTGCGTGGATACGAGGAGAAGAGGGAAGGAAGGGAATGGTATGTGAATCTCCTGTGTTCGAGCTTATAGTGAACTAACCTTGGACCCACAACGCAAGCATTAGACGCCAGGGAAAACAAAAGAACCCGGTCTGCTTTAGGACGAGTTATTGTTTTCTTGACATAGGGGGCACCAGAGAACAAGGACATTTCAATTATTGAAGGAAGCCAGCCCTGAGGACAAAAGGAGGAATATATGCCCTGGATAGTCGTAACCTTTGTTCTAGGAAATAACCGTCCAAGATTCTCGTTCCTGTCTTTCCTTTTCGGTCAGTTGCCGATACGCGACTGTCACGTGCTATTTTTCTTCATCTCGAATGGCGACCAGGGCGCACAAAATTGGTTAGTTCTTGTTGCTCCTCCCTCGGATTTGTCAGTTAATCCATGCAAGGTTCCTTGTTGTTCTGTCCCAACTGCGGTACCTTGCTGGATTTGCCTAAGGATAGCGAAACGTATGTAAACTGCGACCAATGTGGTCATGAAGAGCCCGCGAGCTGTAAGTCGACGAATGCAGGTTATTCGACCGATACGTAACCTGTTGTTCAGCATACGAGAATATCCAAATCACAACACATTCGCATCCGGACGCGTTTCCGTCAGCCTTGCGCCAGAAGAGAAAGACGCAGACCAAACACCATGAAGGCGCCGATCAAGGGACCGCCGTACGTTACTCGTCCTGCTCTTGTATTATTCTCCGCCGACGTCTCATCAGGTATCCGAGAAATGCCCCAACTGCGGCCACATGGAGGCCTACTCAAAAGAACTACAGGTACGTCCGCAAGCGAATGAAATAATATAACCCGAGACTCAACAAATGAATAGCTGCGCAGTGCAGATGAAGGATCCACCGTCTTCTATACTGTGAGTATCCCTCCCAACGGCTAATCGTGATCCTGACTGGTCCTAGTGCGCCTCAGTGCAAACACGGCTGGCGCGTGAACAACTAGACGTACACCCCGACTGTGCAGAACAGCGCGACCACCCCAAACCCTCCCAGGACGCTCGCTGTAGACGCAACTGCAACTTCCCGTAGAGGTATCGTGTCCTTGGGTAGCCTATTATTCGTCAGAACCATGTCTAGGTAGACCAATACAGCGAGATTGCATACGTTGAAAAGTAGAACGCCAGTGTAAACGTGGCCGAAAGCAGCACTAGCGCGATGTATGGCAGCAGGCTGACCGGAATTATTGGCTGGAACGCCGGCAGCGTACTATACAGATTCTATACCACCAGTTAGGCGAGAAAAACGAGCATATAAGCAGACCAAACCTTGACGGCGTTGTATTCGTCCATAGCAAAGGTGACTGCCCTGCCAAACACGTGTAAGCAACCAATATCAGACTCCCGCCTGCGCTCGCTCTCTCTTCTGAAAACAACCACCACCACTACTCCACTTTGTTCAGTCCCGTTCTCCATTACCGCTGTACGTGTTTTCCCTCCTTGCCGCCGCCGCCGTTATCGTTACCCATGACGTCGGCCGCGTTGTCTCGCCATGCTGACGTACGCTCTTCTCCACGCAGATGTCAGCCGCAGAAAAATTGCAACAGCACCCTGCCTTCAAACAGGTGAAAACTAAAGCAGAGTACTACTATGGCCAGCTCGACAAGGAGGTTGGTTTCCAAAACATCCTTGCTGCTTGTCTGTAATATGCTTATCGTGGCTCTAGCTCACCAAGTATCCCGTGCTCATCAACTTGGAGCAACGCACCCAAGTACCCAAGGGCTACCTTGTCCTAGGAAGCGCTTTCATCATCACCTTCCTGCACATCTTCAACGCCCTCGCTGCTCCTGTCTCTAACCTCGTCGGCTGGGCTCTCCCCGCATATCTCTCCTTCAAGGCCATCGAGTCGCCGTCTCCCCATGATGACATTCAATGGCTGACGTACTGGGTCGTGTTTGGGTTTTTCAACTTTTTGGAGAGCTTCGCCCTCCGGCTCGTGTTGTACTACGTCCCATGGTATTTCGCCTTCAAGACGCTCTTCATCGTGTGGTTACAGCTTCCTGTCTTCCGAGTGCGTGTCTTTTTTTGCTTTGCTTTTTACCCTGTTTCACGGCACACGACACGACTCGCTTACGCGGTGTCGTGTGACTGGATTTTTTGGACCGGGCTGCGTTGCGTTGCTTTGCTTACGTGTCCATCACACAGGGTGCCCAAGTTACCTACGTCAATATTCTCAAGCCTGTCTTGAGCAACATCAGCTCGAGCGGCGTCGTCGCAAAGGCAGATAATCTTCGCGAGCGTGCTGCTGAAGCAACCGAGTAAACTGGATTATGTTATTAATGCTGGCTTGATCATAGAACATTTTTTTCTTCTCTTCTTTTCTCTTCCTTTTTCATTCGTCCATGTCGTGCTTCTGCTCCTCCGTAACGTACTCTCATCCCGGCTTTTCTTTTTCATGTATGCTGAGTCCTTGACGAATGGAAACGAAAAGCTTACCGTTATGCGTAGATGACGCGTGTGACGTCAATGGTGCAGTCTAAGACATTCACAGTCGGAACCATCCTGCGGTCGGACTAGGACGGCTGTTCCCGTTCAGAGGCGTTCGAACGCAGGATGTACGAGGGCTGGTCCTAGAACATTACGACACCTACTCTCTGCCGGCGCCAATCACTCTGTTGCTGTGACAAACGGCTGCCTAGTGATCGTAATTTCGCTTTACGAGATATTCCGGACATTTCCGCCCGTTATCCCAGACGATTCGCGCCCTCACGACGCGATCTTGACCTCATACAACGATCATGTACTGCGCGGAATGGCGTAAGGGCGGGGCCACCGTCTATGGTCGTCCCGACAATCTTTCCCCTTGTTGACTTTTGACTAGTACCTGCGAAAATGAGCTCATCTGGTGTTCGCCGAGGGTCGGTGTATGCTCTAGGCTGCAGTAATTGTTTCCCCTTACTTTTATTGCACACGCGATAGGCGGGCCGCTCGCGACTTAGGATAGACCAAGTGAAGGACTCGCCTCGACGTGACCGTGTCTTTATCCACTCTCCTGTAGGCTCGTAGCCACGGAGCAACACTAGAGAACTCAATCACACGAAGTGCGAGGAACGAGCTCTGTAAGGACGTCGAGACGAGACAGGTGATGGTAAGCTAGAGAGAGAGAATCGTATGCTACTGCCTATCTGAGTATCCCGGAAGTAGCCGGTGAGTAACCGGAGTCCCTGGTTACATCTCCCATATGTTCTGAGTCTCCGGCCGTCTCCGCGCGAATTCAAGGCGGTCTAATTTTATTCCTCCTCTTCAGCACCAATCACTCTGCAGTCTTGTCAAAATCGCGCCACCCATGGGTCCAAGTTGCATTCCGCTATGATCGATGACGAAGTTTTTCTATTGGCTTGGCGCAAGTAACTAGATGCGCGCGCCCACATGCACGACGCGTTTCTGAGTTCATACCGCGATCACGTACCCACGGCGCACTTTATTCTATTCTCCGTCAGAATGATTGCCTCTAGCTTTCGACAACAACAGAGCATAGTTCATATCACATTTCTTCGATTCATTACAAGGTGACCTCAAAAGCATACAGAAGGATCCTAATCTGCCTGCACTTGAACCTCGCTGCCCAAGGGCTCATACAGTTTCCTAAGTCCAAGTTCCCTGGCCATACCTGCCATACTCGTTGTCAACATCAGAGGAAATAGTATCCAGAGTGACAATCTTGTCTCGCATTGTAATGGAAGACGCTAAGTCCTTCACTTCCATAGGCCATCCATCACCTGGCACAGAAAGCATTTTCAAGGCTTCGCCCAGGCCGATTTTGTTGGCATAGTCATGTACGAGCAGATCTTTGTGAGACGGCTTGGTGGAAGTAAGAGTGGGGGCCGTCATAGTCATGTGGAAATGAATGGGGTACTGGAAGGGCTTGACACTTTAAAGACGTAGTCACGTAGGGAGTGGTTCAGCTCCAAGCCTCGTGTACGAAGAAAACACGCCCCGAGAACAGTGTCAATGGGGTGGTCCAGGTATGATGATGATAAATGATGATAAACAGGTCTCTGAGCGGGACTGCACATTTTGAACTGCCGGTTCTGGTGGAATATCGCCAGTAGCATAAAGGGAATTTAACTGGATTCTGAGGGATCGAGCTCAAGGTCACCGATAGCAGGAATGAAGGTTACCTGTGTCATATAGAAGGACCAAACAACAAACACCAGTGACACCTCAGTACTTGATACTATCCAGGTTGTTACTGAGTAGGAAGAGCTCGAATTCAGAGTACAAATTGGCAATTTTGGTTTTTCGTTCGCTCTTCGACGTTTCGTATTAAGCAGCCGTTGTGCATAACTCGCATATATGGAAAATGCCAGATAGAACCAACATCACCATATCTGGCGTGCTCACAGGTGGAGGGAGGCTAAAATTTAGAGACAGGACCTGAGGAGAGCGAGCGCGTGCATAGCTTGCCGTGTTTGGGCTGTGGGCCCGGCCGTTCCTTATTGGGACCTTGTGCCAGTACAACACCAACACCAACACCAGTCCCGCTCGCGTGTGGCGGTCCGATCTTGCCGAGCTTCCACGACGAACTTCCTTTAGTTACTACTTGTGCGACAAGCTTGCCTCCTAATTGATGGGATGCAGTCTTTTCGAATCGCGCCACCCGTAGGTCCAAGTTGCATTCCGCCATGATCGATGACGACAACACTAGTGGACCTTTCCCTACAATCCTGATTCTTCCATTGGCTTAGCGGAAGTTCCAGCTAGGAACTAGGTGCGCGCGTCCACATGGTCCCACCTCACGACGCGTTTCTGAGTGATCTTGACCTCATACCGCGATTACGTACCCACCGAGCACTCTATTCTGGGATCTCTGATCCTCAGCGGCGTTCTCTGTGCATGCTTCACTTCGAGTCTTCAACTTCGCCACCTCTCATGACCCGGCTAGCTATCTGCACTCTATTACGGCCGTGTGGCAGCATATGCTCCCACCGTCAACTTGGCATCATATCGCGCCTTCTTTCCACCCCTGGACAAATTCTGTAATCACGCTCCTTCCTTAGACGATTGCACTATCCAAGTCACGGATTGCGAGAGGGGTGGAAGGGTGGGACTGAACAAAAACGGGCCGTGAGCGGTTTAAGAACTCATCATTCAACCTGGTGGTGCTTATCATTGCGGTCTCTTATGTCGTCCAAGTTTGACGAGAAACGCGCAGACTCGGACGTCGTCCTTGCTGATAACCTCTCTTTAGATGAGGAGCACAGGAATCTTGGAGGTGCCCCCATTGAGGACGCGAGTCCGATGGGGAAGGACGTTGATTGGTGGACGGCGGTGTTTTTGAACTTTTCCCAGATGATTGGGACGGGGATCTTTTGTGAGTAGGCCTCTCTTATATTTGTTGTGTGTGGAGGTTAACTGTTGGATGGTTTAGCGACGCCTGGAACTATACTGAGGCAGACGGGTAGTTTTGGGTTGGCTATGATTTGTGAGTTACAGTCGGGATTATGTTTGGGGAAGGAGACTGATGCTTGTTACCTTTAGTTTGGGTTATCGGGTTCTTCCTAAGTGCTGGTATGTCACCTCCATACTACGGCTTGGATGCTAGCTCAGACAGGGATTTACAGCGGGTTTATCATACTACACGGAATACCTCGCCATGTTTCCGAATAGGGCTGGAGCCGAGGTAGCTTATCTGGAGCAGGCATATAGTCGGCCCAAGTTTTTGTGCGTTCAAACGGCTTCGACTTATCGCGAGTGTTGATGCATGTATTGTTGTGTGGGATAGATTGCCGGTGACCTTTGCGGTTATCACTGTTATTCTTAGTTTCGCGAGGTACGTGATCGGTGATTTAACTTCAATAGTTTTGAGCTAACCTCATCTTGTAGCTCTAATGCTATAGGTATTTACCCGCTTATCTATTGGCCGCTCCAAATCGTGATACTGACTCCTTCTCTTAGTGTGCGCCGAGTATATACTCTACGCGAATGGGCAAGAAACATACAGTGAATGGACTATGCGAGGAATAGCAATCGCTGCCTATGGGATTGCTTGCATCAGTGCGTAAAATGACTATTCCTGGATCGAAATGCCCTTCTGATCATTGAGCAGTCGTCATCTCCCACAATCGCACAGCGATGTGGATTTCAAATGTTCTAAGTTTCTTCAAAGTGATCATCCTTTGTTTCATTGTCGTCGCAGGATGGGTCGTCCTCGGTGGAGGTACACGTGTTGAGGACCCCAAGAGCCATTTCAAGAATGGGTTCAGTGGGACCAAGTACGTGTTTGTCGTTTGTGTTCTCGGGTTGTTGGCTGATTTCTTTCTTCAACCCTAGTAATAACGGAAATGCGATGGCAAGTGCTATGATTAATGTCATCTTTTCGTATACGGGTTGGAATAATGGTACATCTCAACAACACTACCGGAGTGAACGTTCATTCATCAGATTCACCAGCCAACAACGTCGCCAACGAAATGTCACGCCCCGTACATACACTCAAGACAGCAGGTCCATTCTCCCTCGGCCTAGTCTTCTTCCTCTACTTCTTCGCAAACAGTAAGATTCATTCTCCTTACCCGTTATCCCCTCCTCATATCTCATTGTCTCAGTCGCCTACGTCGCCGCTGTTCCCGTGTCAGAAGCAAAGAAATCCGGCCAACTCCTCGCTGCCAAATTCTTCTCGGCAGTGTTTGGTACATACGCTGGGACGAGGGTTTTGCCTGTCTTCGTAGCTCTATCGGCGTTTGGAAACTTGGTTGCGGTGGCTATTGGGCAGGGGAGGGTGTTTAGGGAGGTAGCGAGACAAGGTGCGTTTACTTTCCGAGTTTTCATGTTAGACAATCGTTGAAGGAACGGCCCCTTCTTTCTAGGCGTGTTCCCATTCAGCCGTTTCTTCGCTAGCACCAAACCCTTTGGTACCCCCGCCGCTCCAATGCTCCTCAAGTTCGTTCTCACAACAATCGTGATCATCGGACCTCGTATGTCCCCTGCCCGCCCCTCCGAGTCCGTTCTGTCTTACATAACTAAATCCCTCGTTTGAACAGCCATCGGCGACGCGTTCAACCTCATCGTATCCATCCAGACGTACCCCAGCCGACTCTTCGACCTAGCCATGGTCACAGGGATCTACTGGATCCGGCGGAGAAGAGCCAAGGCAGGTGTGCCCAGGCCCGAGTTCCGCACCTGGCATATCGCGTTGTGGTTCTCGATCGCGGTGAATATATTCGTGTTGGTGGTGCCGTGGTTACCGCCTGCGAAGGGTGCGGAGCCGTTTTCGTTCCCTTATTGGGTGCCTTGGGTGCGTGTTGTGGTATTCGTTTTGTAGAGGTTCGCTTATCTTTGGGTTTTAGGTTACTGGTATTGGTATCTTGGTTCTGTGTTTCACTTATTGGATTTCGTGGATGCATATTGCCCCGTGGTTGTTGGGGTATAAGGTGTATGAGGAGGTTGTTCAGCTAGAGAATGGGGAGTTGTCGAAGAGGTTTGTGTATGTGTATAATGATCATCGTGGGGATGAGTTTAGGGAGCGGTTGAGGGTGGAGGCGGAGAAGTTGAAGAAGGAGGAGAATGGGAGTTTGGAGCAGAAGGTGGATGTTACGGTTTAAACGTTAACTTAGAGCTGTCTTCGATTTACAGCTGTTTGCATACAGCTTGACAGTCAGGGGCATTTTCGTGGATGATGAAAGAAGGCTCGGACTTGGTCATAAACCGTGTTTTGGGGACTTCAAGCGCGCAAAAGGACCTCCGAGATCGCCGAAATAGCCATAAACCAGCCATAAACGCGTCTTCAAGTCTATAAACCATGGTTTATGACCAAGTCCAAATTACTCTCTTCTCTCGTGCAAAACACATGCTACTGTCAAGCTGTATGCAAACCGCTGTAATGATTTACGTTTCTTTTCTGGGTCATTTCCGTGGTACCGTGAACTCGTTTTACTGGGGTTTACTGATCTGCTTTGATCCAGAATCTTGATCAATATAATTAAATGGATGCCTATGTTGCCAACTCATTTGTGGGCGTCGTTGTCTTCAGACTGATATCGGTAACTCGGTAACTAGGCTGTGGCTGGAAGGTAGAATTGGGAACATCAGTTTACGTCCATGAGAAGGGTTACTTATTAACAATCTCGTACTTCGCTGACACCCTCGCCGCGGTACCGAGCAACTTTCTTAGTCGAACTGAGAACCCGCGTATGGTGCGGGGTGAGGAGCGTAGTAGAGCTTGGACTGCTTCGCGTATCACAAGAGCTGCGTAAGAAAAGCAGCGCGACAGAATAATGTACGACTTGGCTTCTCACGGAACCGCGGACTTGTTTTAGCAAGGTTTCCCGATGCGCCTTGATCTACTGACAATGTAAATGTTTATAATTAGGCAGTGAATTGACTGAAAAAGGAGCGCATGTATTCAGAATTGACGTCCGCGTTTCACCAAGGAACCCTGGCTTGACAGTAGTGAGAGAAAGATTTGAATAGTACCCACCACAATCAATGAACATCCTTATCAAGCTCGCTCACACGACGGCACTCCCAAGACCGAAACCAAAACTAAAGAGAGAGAAAGGCCAGTTGCTTTCACCGATTGTCGATCCTTATCTAACTTGCATGTTGCGAGTCAATTGAGTGAGGATGTGGACGCACACGAGCTGAGGAGAATCAATACCGGGATCATGATGTCGGAGGCAAGAACCAACCCGTTATCAAGCTCGATTTGACGCGATAATCAACGAGCATGCGTTCAGTTCATTGAAGAGAGGTCCAAGTTTCTGTCGCGGGGAGAGAAGCCGATGCCTCAGTTAATGATAGTATCAGCTGCTGGCTGGAGCGACAGAGCAAAGCCGATTTGGGTCGGAGGCACGGTTTGGGATTCACGCATTCGCCGAGGACGTGAAACACCGCGTGCGTGTGCGTGTGATCCAGACTGGCCTAATCCATATGGAGTACGATATAATTCAACGAAAAAAAAAACAGAAATACATGTGAGAGAAAACCGTCAAGGGGCCTTCAGGGAATGATTCAGTGGCCGCCGCGTGTCGTGGCAGCAGAGATAAAGGACAGAGCAACATCCATGGCCAGGCTGTTTACGGAAGGAATGGAGGGAAAATGCGCATGGTTACGTCGAGAAAGAAGGTTGAGTGGGGTGGCGTGGTCGGATCCGGCGGCGATTTGAAACTTGGTCTGCTACCACTACCTCTTCCATTGTGGAAAAACATCAACATGTCCGTCATCGTCGTCGAAAATTTCTGGCTCTCCGTGCTCTACGATGAACGGACGTGTAGGCCACGGCTGGCCCGACGAAACACCTATCTAAACTCGACTCACCTGGGTTGGTTGATCCGAGAATGTTACTCACCGTTGATGGGGAATTGCCTGGTTCCTGAAGCTCCTTCGATAAACGAACCATGTGTAACTTGATGGCTACTTATCTGCGCTACTTATACCCGAACGGACCTCGTCCCTCTTTCTTCCTCGGTCACTCATGGCACCAGTTGTCGACAACGAAAAAGGCTACGCAGGGAGCAGCGACGAAGGACATGAAGCTCCAAAGGTCTACCAGCAGCTAACGGGCCTCAAGGGACTCTACTATAACCCCATCACCCAGGCAAGTCAAGCTGGTTTTTGAAGATTTGCGATTTCTGACTTGCGTAGGTCGCGATGCTGGGATTTGTTTGCTTCATGGGACCAGGTAGGCAGCATCTACTCATTCTTGGCAATTATTAACGCCATCCCTGCACAGGATTGTTCAACGCTCTAAACGGACTGGGTGCTGGTGGTCAAGTCGATTCCAAGACCAATTCTAATGCAAATACTGCTCTGTATTCAACTTTTGCTGCCATGGGATTCTTCGCTGGGTGAGCGTGTTTCGCCTTCCACGTTTTGAACACTTATCCATATATATCTTTCCTTAGATCAGTCAATAACATGCTCGGACCAAGACTCACACTTCTGATTGGCAGCATGGGTTACAGCCTGTACATCGGGTCTTATCTGTGATTACTGCCCCTTCATCACTTGTTAATCGATGCTGATACTATCTCTAGAGCCATAAACATTCACTCCAACGCTGGTGGTTTTGTCGTTGCCGCAGGTGCTATCCTTGGGATGTGTGCAGGTCTTTTATGGACCGCACAGGGCTCACTGATGATGGCATACCCTACCGAAACGCAAAAAGGAAGATTCATCGGGATTTTCTGGTCTATTTTCAACCTCGGTGGTGTCGTTGGAGCGTCTGTTGCTGCTGGGAGAAACTGGAAATCAACAGTAAGTGCCTGAACTTTCGTAAAATGTGAATGCGTATTCATCCGTGTTTACAGGCTAATGCTGTTGATAATGGAACCTACGTGCGTTAGCAATTTCTACCATCTTTTTATTTACTTAAACCATCCGCAGATTGGATTTCTTGTCCTTACACTCATCGGTGTTACGATTCCGATGCTAATGGCGAACCCAGACAAGATGATTCGTTCTGATGGAACAAAGGTTACGACGCCCCGACATCCCTCTTGGAAAACCGAAATTATGGGTCTATTCGTGACGCTGAAGACTGATCCAATGATCGTCCTTCTCTTCCCTATGTTCTTTGCTTCCAATTGGTTCTACACGTGGCGTCAGTGCTTACTTCCTTTCTCTGGAGCCGCCTAACTGACGCGCTTTAATTCTATCCAGAATTCAGCGGCTTCAACGGTGCCATCTTCAACATCCGTGCTCGAGGCCTGAACAATGTCTGCTACTGGATCTCCCAAATCATCGGGTCTGTCCTCATCGGTCTTCTCCTCGACAGAAAATCCATCAGTCGTCGCATCCGAGCCTACACAGGCTGGACCGTCCTCTTCCTAATGGTGTTCGTCGTCCACATCTGGGGATACTTCTACCAAAAGCAGTACACACGCGAGAGCGTCGCACCAGAGACGGAGAAAATGGATATTTACGACTACGGATACGCTGGGAGGGTGTGGTTCTACATCTTCTGTGGGATACTGGATGCGATGTGGCAGACGACGGCGTACTGGCTTATGGGAGCGATGTCGAATGATCCGTCGAAGTTGGCATTTTTTGCTGGGTTCTACAAGTCGATCCAGTCGGCTGGTGCTGCTGGGATATGGCGTGCTGACGCTGTCAAGATTCCGTGTGTTTTTTCTCTGACGCTTGATTATGATGTTTCCTGACGCTTCGTATAGGTACATGAATATGTTCATTTCGGAATGGGCTCTCCTTGTTGGAGGTCTTGTGTTTGCGTTGCCTATGGTTATCATACGTATCAAGAATCATACCGATCTAGACGACGAGACCATGTCAGTTCATCCGTCTCATTGACTTTGATGGTTTCTCATGACCTTCCTTGCTTATAGCACCCGGATGGATGATAAAGGACATATACGTCCAACTGAGGATGTCGCTGCGGAGATAAAAGTTACCCAGGGGTCTTCATGATTTTTATGTTGGTGATCAAGGACACTTCATGACTGATGACTTTATTCTAGTATACTTGTAAATAAACACGTTTTCCATCTTCGTACTTGCCATCGTGACATGTGCTGAGTGAAAGGTTCGGCCATGTCTCGAGAATTCACCTGGTGGATATAGTTTGAGTTCTGTCGCCAACGGAATAGACAACAGCAGGTGGCAGAAGTCCCGTGCTCCCGATTAGGCAGCTCATTGGTTGAATTCAATTGGCGCGCTTCTTCAGTACTTCAGCTTGTTCACGCTTCGGTCACTAGCCTGGGACTTGTAATTTCTTTCGGCTCGTTTTTACGCTCCACCTACTGGGCTTTCCAGGAAGTAGCCAAGACGCTATGCGGATACTTATCGTCAGAACATGTCACGACCAAAGTACAGAACTGGGATCTTGTCTTGAGCTTTATTCGTCTCGAGGTTCTCTAGGCGCTTAGGAAGCTTCCGTAAGTGATCTATTAACCTTTTGAAGCTCTCACCGGGGTCTGAGTTTGTCTTTATTTTGCGGGAGGTGTGTCCCCATGCACATATAAACCAAGCAACGCCTTTGCCATGATGCAACCATGCCTCGCAAGCGCATACTTCGCAGCGATCTCTTCAACCAAGAGCAGCTCGTATCGATGGATGCGCTTGAGTCTGCGTTGCAAGAACTACAAAGTCTCCTCACAAAGGATAATTTCAAGCATGTTTTTCAAGACCTGATCGACAACGAGAGCCCTCGTATTCTCCTCCTTGTCCTGTCGTGTAAGTTGACATCGCTAAGCTATTGTATTGTCTATCAGGCTCTTACATCTTCACAGCCCTGAGTGAGACTACGTCGTTGATGATCACGTCGTGGTTGCTGGAGTCGTTTCCCTCCAGCCCTGCCGAATACGATGCGAGTGTCCACTACGTGACTTTATCTTGTCTCTCTTCAGAGTTTCGTTCCTGCTCTTTCATTGAAGATAAAGAATTATGTGCCCGATACTACCAGATGACTCAGATCACGCCCAGGGTTTTGAGCTATCTCATCTCCTTCCTCCGCCCCAAGGGCAACGCAAAACAGTCTCAAAGGAATTTTCAACAAGCCAGGCCCGACGACAACACTACAATTTTGGTCAAAAGGTACTTCAATGTCCTGAATGCCGATATGCCTGAAACGTCGGGCGAAGCATCTGTCCTCGTGGATCATGTTTTGCAAAGTCAAAAGGATACTCTCAAGGTAAACGTTGCTCTATCTGCATGCTACTTGCTGAAAATTGAGGCGTGTCTAGTTCTATCTAGAGTTGCTGCGTCGTCCTGGGATATCCATACCACTCAAGGAACGTTGTATCACTTCTACGTCCCCCATAAAGGAGGAAAACAAGAATCCATCTGGGTCTGTGGTCCCTTCTGCGTTTCCGATCGTCCAACCGATGAAGTCGTATGTCTTTATGTCCTTTTCACGAAACGATATTGCATTGACATCTATCAAGGGCGTTATACTTTGATACTGCCGAGGACTTTGGAGATTGGACGGTCATCATATCCACGAATGCTGACAATTTTTTGCGGACCGCCCACAAGAAAGATCTCTTCACGTTTAACATCACTGTCAAGAAGATCAAGTATGTATCAGATCACATGGTATCGTATACCAATCATGTTTATCGGAATGCACTACAGGGAGCTTTCTTGCGGTTACTTTACCGATAACAATCAAAAACGTTTGAGTGGAAGCGCGACTGAGGTTCCTGTCTTCGAGGCTAAAATCGCTCGCAACCTCAGAGTCATCGTAGGAGATCTGTTGTTTATCAATCCCATATGTCACTGATGCTGCCTTACAGTATCAAATCAATGTAATCCCAGGTGATGATGTACGTTCGAAGGATAATTTTGTAATCCAAGCTACTAAACTACCTTGAATTATTGGCAGGGAGAGCAGCAAGGTGAGCTAATGTTCATATATCTTTGCTTGCTTCTCACAGCTCTTGAAGCGATCAAAATATTCGGTATCTATACTCATGCTCAAATCGACAATCGGCTCTGGAGTTCTATTAGCGCTCAGCTTCGTAAAAAGGGAAAGGAATACCGGAAGAGGTATCATTTTCTCACTGTAGCTTGAATGCCTGGAGCCTAAACATGATGGTGTAGATGCGTAGCTAGGAAACGGGCAGATCAGGCCTCGAAGGATACTTTTATCCCAGCGTTCTTTCCCCCGCTACCTGAAGTATCGCCTTCGGATATCGAAAGTCTACCGGATCTACGTCCTGAAGAAACGGCCCAGGTTAACTTCACATTTTTCGTTCCTCCGAACAAATGCTGACTATTCCATTTAGGTTCATTCAAGACTTGTGTAAGTCACATAGAGAAGAGCTGAATCCCAGTCGCTAACCCCCTACAGGGTTGAGAAATACGTCACATTTTTGCAGGTATGTTCTCACGGTATCTGTAGAATCTTGATTTAACCATGGAGACATGCAGCCATTTTTGAATAGTATGTATCGGTGTGACACAGTCTGAAATGCTAGATTAATTCGTTTCGGTAGCCATCTTAGCAGATGTGGATGCTATTTTTCCTCACATGGTTTCGTGCGCCGCCGTCTTTACCTTTCCTTGTTCATTTTCTGACAGCATGTACTAACAGCGTTCAAGAGAAATGTATTATAGAGCATCCGAAGTCTTGCTACGTCATCGGCCGCAGTGGCACGGGGTGTGTACGAGCAGCTCGCCGACTTCATGCTTTGGCTCACCGGTTTGATGTAGAAAAACAACTACTATGTTATTCAAGATGTTGCTCATTGAGCGGACGTTTCAACTCATGGAGTCAGGTTTACCCCGTCCTCGTCAAGTCTTCATCACGAAGTCTAGAATGCTCGCTAAGAAAGTGAAGGAATACTTTGAGAAGTTGGCCAGCTCCTTGGCAATGGCATCACAATCCTCTGCTGACCCTACGAACCTACCGAGAGCTCCCCAGTACCAAGATGATCTAGGGCTGATTGACGAAGATGATGATGTAGATTGGGGGACTGATTTACCAGCCAAGTACAGTGAACTCGAGGAGAGGCATTTCCCATTATTTATCACATTTGATGGCGTGAGTAGCAGCTCTTTTTTATCCGTGCTTCCTATTTTTACCAATTATAGCTTTGCGACATGTTGGAGGCTGACATGAGTACTCAAACGTTGACCGACACGAGACGTACTGGCATCAAGCGCCAGATGGGTGTCATTACTTTTGAATCCTTTTGCGAGTCCTACTGGTCTCATTTCCCTGAACCGTTGATTAAAGGATTAGGTTTCTTCTTCTCTCTTTTGTCTGAGCATTGGTATTGAAACAGCGTTTATTCAGATCCCGCCTTGGTATTCAGCGAAATTATAGGTAACATATTCATATATCTTGTGTTAAAAGGGATTGACCCGAGTCTCCGTTCAGGCGTCATCGAAGGTTCGGCAGAGACACTGAGCGAAGAGAAGCATCACCTTAACAAAGACGCATACCTTGATCTCAGTAAACGCCGACAGTCTACATTTGCTGACCAGAGGTGCGAGGTGTACAGACTCTTTGAGTTGTATATGCGCAAGAAGAAGTTGCGGGGAGAGTATGACACCGGTGATCGGTAAGGTCCTTCTTGTTGAAATTTCGTGAGTAGAAGATAATCAGGGTCTAGAACCCATGGCATCTTGAAGCATTTCACGGAAAACGGAATCCCGGGCAAAGGACTTGATCATTTGTGAGTTCTCTGTCTTTACTCTCTTTATCTGTTATCGATGTTGTTACAGATATGTCGACGAAGTACAGGATAACATGCTCATTGACACTATGAGTAAGTTTCATCTCTGTCTCGCATGTATCATGATTGACTGGCCAACTCATCATTTAGTTTTGAGGGCACTATGTAGCAATGCGGATGGTCTTTTCTGGGCAGGTGACACTGCACAGACCATCTCCGTTGGAAGTTCTTTCTGCTTCAACGCTTTGAAGGCATTTCAGTGGAATATTGAGGTAGGATCTACTCAGAATGATTCTCATACACAAGCCTAATGAGATGAGCAGGACCAGTACCGGAGGAAGCACAGACCAGGAGTTAGATGCAAGCAGCCACCCGAGATGTTTCAACTTACTGTCAACTATAGGTCTCATGCAGGCATTGTTGATTGCGCACATTCTATCATTGAACTTATCACGACCTTTTGGGAGGATTCCATTGATCGTCTTTCTCCAGAGATGGGCATTATAGACGGGGTCAAACCTATCTTTTTCAACAACGAAGATCGTGCCCAGTTGGATCAGTTCATTTTTCATGATGGCGGTGATCCCATCGAGTTTGGTGCCCAGCAATGTTAGTCTCCTGTTTATCCGCATTGAAATCGACTGACTTCGAATCTTCATGCATAGGTATCATTGTTAGGAATGAAATGGCAAGAGAGAGACTCCAACAGAAAGTCGGTGAAATTGGTCTTGTGCTGTTCGAGTTTTCTGTTCTTAATTTAACTAAGCCACTGATGGTCAATATTATAGTACCGTATATGAAAGCAAAGGACTTGAATTTAATGATGTAGGTTAATATGCTATTCTATGAGATGACTTTTTCACTGTGGTGTTGAATCCCTTCAGGTCCTGCTCTACAACTTCTTCGCCGATTCACCCGCTGGTCTTGCGCAGTGGCGTGTCGTGCTGAATGCCATCGAGGAGAGCAAGCAGGACCCTGGGAATCCTCCCCCTCGATTCGATCATATTCGTCATGCCAGCATTTGTAACGAAGTAAGTGTGAATCATAACGCCATTACTCGACATTGTTAAAGTAATGTTATTTCCAGCTAAAATCGCTGTACGTTGCAATCACAAGAGCACGTGAAAATATCTGGATCGCAGATGGATCTGAGAAAGGGGAGCCCATGAGAGTAAGTTAGCGTTGTTCTATGCAGATGGTATTCTTATCACCAATCATCAAGATTTTTTGGACGAACAAAGATTTGATTAACAATTATACTCGGGGATCTGATGCTCCTCGTCTTGCATCTTCATCAACACCCGAAGAATGGGCTGCAGAAGGACGTGAACTATTCAACGCGAAGCGCTTCTTGCAGGCGAAGCATTGTTATATCAAAGCCGGCCTCCCTCTCCTAGCATCCATTGCAGATGCCTATGAAATGCGGGCAAAGGCTCGTAGAGTCATGGGTACATCGACGCAAAAAGTCCTCGAACGACGTTCTTACTTCGCAGAGGCGGCAAAACTGTTCTTTGAATGTGCTAAGGGCACTAAGGTCAGCACGAACCCGAAAGATTCCATGACTTATCTCAGGATCAGTGGCGAATGCTTCGAACAAGCTGACAAGAAGCATCGAGCTGCCCAAGTATTCCTCCGTGCTCAAGAATACACCCATGCCGCGGAGTTGTACATAGACATTGGCAGGTTTGACGATGCGGTGGCAGTTATGAAGGGCCATAAAGATGAAATGTCGTTGAAGGTTGTGAAAGATGTCATCAAGCTTGCTCGACTGGCATACTTTTCTAACGGCCAGATGAAGTACGTTCTTCCTCAGGTGTATTGACCCGCCATCCTCACTTTGCTAAACAGAAAAGCGCACGACCTATTTGATACATTTGAAGAAGAAGTAGAGTATCTGGAAGAAAGGGATCTCGATGTTGCTCTTGCCGACTTACTGGAGACAAAGGGAAAGGTCTGCGAAGCTGCTGAATTGCATTACTCCAAGGGTCGCAAGCAACAAGCCATTGTGCTTTTCCTTTGCCAAGCCCAAAACAAAAATGCTTTGCATCGAGCTCAAGAATGCGTTCTCGAAGAGCTTTGGTACAGAATATCTTTTGGCGTTGACCCAAATGCTATAAGATCAGATCCCACTGTCAAGCGGCTGATGCTGTTTGCTTCGCGGCTTGATGTGGCTTCTATGGAACGTACTAAAGCTGCTGAAGTAAGTATCGACCTCACCTCTTACTCGTCACAGCTTATACTGATGCATTTCCAGCTGTCTATGTTTAAGGCTATCATCAATGATCCCATATCTCGGCTACATGCACTAGGGTTGAATTTCTACAACATAGGCAATAGTACCGCAGCGCTGCTCTGCCTAGATCAATATTTTTCTCAGGCCTGTCGAATTCGTGACTTAGTTCTTGTTGACGCAGTCGAGAAACTCAGCCTCTTTGATACCTACGTCGGCCTCCTTTCTACCACAGCGTTCCGAACAGACCCTTCTCGCGATGCAACAACTGCGGCATTGTTCGGTTTTCGGCGAAACACAACGAACGAATTTCTTGTGCCCCCGAACACTTGGTTGTACTCAGCGGCCCTTAAACTTCGACCTAAGAACATGCTTAGGGATTCCTCCAATCTCAGGCTGTCAGTACCTGAACTACGTATGTTGTTTCGACAAGCTCTTCAAATTCATCTCAAAAGAATGATTGCCGCTGAAAATGACGAATGCGGGAGAAGCAAAGCATTCACGCTTTGCCTAGAATTCGCTGTATCTGGGATTTGCATGCGCCCTGAATGTCCGGAAGCCCATGTACCACCTTCGGAGATTGATCCCAGTTACTACAACATGCGCATCCGCTTGCACCTACAACAAATCCTGATCTTGCAGTTGCTTACGGCGTTTAAAGAGAATGATCGCGATGAATCGGAAAACAGAGAAATCACCAAGTACGTTCTCATTCTTGTTCTTCGATTTCATAGTGCTTATTCCGTATAGGTTCTGGCTCAGCCGTCTCTGCGACGCTCTTCATCCTCCTGATCGTGTGTTTGGGTCCATTTCCGATCTCGCGCTTTCTACAATTCCCGAGGCTCCAAAAGCACTGGATGTTGTAAGAGATTGGATACAAATCCTTGTCTATGGCCGAGAGTATCTACCCCCGATACAGCTCTCCCCCGATGTGATGCGGACAGCTCTCTTGGCCCTCATGTTTGACCGAAGTCAAGCAGGTCATCTCAGAAACACCCCATACTCCAGCGCAAAACACCCTCCATCTATGTACATCCGCCGTAGAAATGGTTTTGTTCTTCATAATCTTCTAAGCTCAATGTCGGGAGATCAAACATGGTCTCTTACTGCTGGTTGTCTATTCGTCGAGTAAGTCTGGCTCCCGCCCATCTTTGCTCTATCCTGATCTTCTTTCCAGGCGCATCATAAAGCAAAGATTCCATATCAACATAGGTGTCGTGTGCGACTTTCTGGATCTTCTTTGCAGTTCTGCCATTCTTTTCGGTGTTCGCCTGGAAACGCCATTACTACATAATATGATTGTCCCTCGTAACTGGCTCTTATGCTTTGTGAGCTACCATTCATCACCGTACGTCAATGAAGAGATGCAGACAAATTATTATCGAACCCTTTTGGAACCTATGCGGGATCTTCTGGAACAATTGTGTGTCGGTCGAGGCTGTGGTAAGTCTCTGAAAGTCATTTCTTTCAGCGTTTCATTCTCACCAATACCAGAGCATCTCCTGTACCATGGGACTTCCGAAAATCTTTCAAATCTGCCATACAAAGTTCGCTGTGTTTTCGTCGCAAGAATGTAAGTCAGCTACCAAGTGGACCATTGCTTCCTTTTCTGACGTCAGTCCTCTATCAGATTCAACGCTATCGGTCTATGTCAGTCTATGACTATTCTTTAGCTCGCGCCCTTACTGATTCTATAATGTAGTGGGCTACAACATTCACGACGAATCTCTTCGCAGCGATATTCAGAAGTTGATGCTATCGTTGCGCCAAGAAGATCGCTTGTTTTCTCATCTTTATGGTCGGTAAGCCGATTTCAGCTTGAGGAGCTGCCTGCATGATTTAAGACTTTGGCAGATACATCGATGCTGCCAGTCGTTCATGGGATGAACTTGTGGAGGTCATTTGTCACTCAATTGAATACGATGCCAAGGACGAAACGATACAGCTCGTTCACCAGAGCAGGACTCCAGAAAAAAAGCCTACCTCGCTACAAGTCCGTCAGCTTGTTTACCGCGACTTCACGGATATCCAAGCGCAGCTTGCTCTCACCAAGTCTGCATCTACCCCGGCCACCTCGCCACATAAGATTCATGAGCAAAAAGAGCCCGATGGAGATGCAAGTAAAGCGAAGGGAACGGAAGATACCCAAGAAGCTAAAGCCGTCGAGGAGGCTGCCGGCGAAGGTGTTGAAGTTGTCGACACTATTCCGACGCAAGATATGACAACCCCGGATCCTACAGAACGAGAGATCGCCGCCGCGTCCTTGATTCAGCGAGCATACAGGAAAGTCCTCCGTTGTCGACGAGGTGTTGCCGAGAGAGGGACAGCAGGCCTTCGTGCCCAGATATACGCCTCATGCACTGAAGAAGTATCTCGGCTTGGTGATAAACCAGGGCTATATCTTCGCTTGTTTCTGGGTCCACTGCCGCACATTTTAGTCTGTTTGGAGATAGTCTGTATCGATACACACAAGCACAAGACGAAGACGAAAAGCAGACTTAGTAAAAAGTGCACATCTGATGAGTATGGTGCACTCGGTGACCTGTTAACAAAGACCACGTATGTATTACTTGCAGCTTCTACCAGCGATAACTGACACGATTCGCTATTTTCAACAGCAAGGCGAACCAGACTGCGATCAAGCTACAAAAGCTTCTCAGCCCAAAGTCTACCTTCCACGGGCGTTGCGATGTCAAGGAACTGAAGAGACAAATAGAAGAGGTCAACTGCCTAGTTTCTTCTCTTCCTTTCGACGCATCATTGGACTTATCCAATGATCTGCATCTCGCGGGGATCGTAACTGGTAGTGAACGTTCATCAGCACACACACGCAAGAACTTGAAGCCGAAGCTCAATACCACTGGTTTGTAACTGATACTGATTCATCTCGTATTGGTAGTCTGCAATATAGCACCTTTTTTTGATAAAACGGCGCCCAGAAAATAAGAAAGGCGACATCACGTCTTGAAACGAAACTGGTAATGATTTGCCAAGGACCAGCTAACGTCTGGTTTTGAGGACAAGTGATATGCTAACGTCAACGATGAGCGACAGAATTAAAACAAGGCCAATGGAATGAACATACCTGGACGGCTTTGATATGGCGTGGGATTCGGTGGCCTCACGCGGGATGGCAGGATTCATGCTGACTTTGAGGAGTGCTGGTGGGTGATGACCTGACTCAAAGGAGGTCAGCATGCGTACTATCCATCCTGGCCAAGCACCTCTCTACACACCCGCCCTGAAAGTGTATGATGCGTTGAGCCTACAGCATTGGTATGATCTTGAGGGTCAGAGACAGGAAGGTCCTGTGAAGAGGAATGCAGATTGCGGAATAGCGTGCAGGGCGATGGAAGATTGGAACTTGAAAAGAAAGTACGCAAATGGTGATGGTGGAAGGGATCTGACAGTAAACTTCGAACAATGCTGGGATACGCGACGTTAGCACGTGATCTGTTCCGTCTTGAACACGCACCGCCGCTTGCAATGCCGCTTTCCTGGGCGATATTTCTGTCATTCCTATACCCACCGAAAAATCTTTCACCCAGGAACAGAAGAAGAGTAACCATTGACTCCTATATTATACCTGATTGGTATCGCACTACTCCGCGGTGAAACGCTGAGATTGCTGCGTGAAGGCCCTACCCTGCCCAAGTTTGTGAACCTCTAATCTCGTGTGCTGAGCACCGACTCGGATACCGAATGTTGGAGCTTCTTCCTAACGACCCATCTCTTCATCCCTACCGACCTCTCTTGCTTGGCTACAACTTCCTGCATAAAAATCTAATGGCAGAGTTCATGATCTTGCATGCGATAGATGCGTCTAATCACCGTGCAATTACACACACCCTCAGGCTCAAGCAGCTGTTTTTTCTGCCGCCAAAAATCGTGATACCTCCACTATTTTCGTTCCTACCACCGCCATCATGACCTTCTTTTGTCCGAACCACGATCACTATTCGCTTGATAATCAGGTCCTGAAATCCATGCTCCCCATCCTCAAGACGGTCCTCATTGTGTCATTCATCCTTCTGTGTCTCCTTATCTCTTATAGCGGACGTCAAGGTTTACTTCCTGTCACCAGGCGGTCTCCTTCGTGAAAGATCTCGCCTATCCAGGTTTCCATGTTTTGTAGTTTTCGATGGTCGGCGTTTCCTGCACGCGGTCTGTGGTTCTTTGTTTGATTCGTATGTTGCTATTCTTCTCATTGACTTGTAGTCTGATCCGCTTCACGCTTCCGTCCAACCTCGTGTACTGGGCACCGATATCTACTACGTTTTCTAAGACCCATCGTCTCTTCATACCTACCACTCTCAAAATATCAATGGCAGGCTGATCTTGTTGCGTGGGGTTTTTTTCCTTGACGATACCTGGAGATGGATGAATTGTCATTCCGCGAGTTTTTCTGCTGCCAAATCCGGTGCTCTATATCGTTCTGGGAGTGAGCAATCGGCATCGTTCGAAATCTCCCGACACGAATGAAGGACTGCTCCTAGCAGCCTTAATGTTACTGTGAGCTCAACCTATCTATCGTCTAGTTAGAGGATGACTAAGTTCATGAGTGTTAGGTCCCAATTATGTACTACCATCATCTATGCTCCGTGTACGTGCTCGCGTAAGTAATACTATATTACCTAGCTACCAAGCCAAATAAAAGATCATAGCTTAACTGATACAGAAGAGCCGAGACGAAAAAGAACAGCCTGGGACTACTCGCACGTATAGGGACCGATATGGTGAGATGGCAGCTGAATTTTGGAAAGTGACAACATCTTGAAAAAAAAAAAAAAAAAGAGCGAGTGAGAACGGTCGAACGGTCGATAGGCAGATTACAAAAGCTGGGTGTATGAAGAACCAACATTTATCGGTGAACTATGTATCCTGTGGCCAAGGTTGGTGACACGGGGGCCATTCTCAGCATGCACTCCACTCATAAATCTTTACCACGTCGAAATCCCGGGCTGATGTCCTTCCTTCAGTATCGACCAAACGAATTGTGCAGGAGAATCGTCCAACGAGCACGGAAATTAAGGGTTGTCACGGAGAGGAGATCGCCTGGACGTGAACGAGGCAGTACAGAAGTAGTACATGCGGTAGTCCGATCCTCAAAAACGATGGACGAGAAAGGGAGAATCAAAGAGATAGTCTCGTCAATTATAGATAGTGGTCGTTATTTTATTTTATTTGATATTCTGGTGTTTCTGATCGAAGGGAAGCAGACTGGTGTGGGTTTCTCAATGTCTGATGGCTGCGCACTATGAGGTACATATTCGATCTGCGGATATTCATAGCAAACCGGGAGAACTGACGATCCTCGCTGTAATAACCCATATACAAACTTGCAGATGCATTCCGAAAGCACTCGTAGGGTTAGCTCCTCGAACGGCGTAAGCAAGTATGTCCGTTTTCTCGCTGGGACGCTATTAAGTAGATATCGCACTGCTCGCGTTTGGGGTTATGATATAGCTGAGCAGGTGGTGATGACTAAATATGGAATGAAAAATTTACGCTTATCCGACGGACCGGCACCTCCTGATCCTGACGATGATCATCGGCAAGCCGTACTTGTGGCCTGATGTGGGCGCGGGAACCTACTTTCCCAGTGAAAATCAGGCTTAGGTGGGTGTTATCCATCTATATAGTCGACCTTCTCTCTAACATACACTCCAAGATGATATCATTGTTCTCTCTTCTGCGAGTAGCTATCGACACGATATGAAAGATGGTCTCTTCATACCGGCGCGTCACCAAGCAGATAAGACAGTGTCCCGGGCTTCCAGTGCCTAATCCCACCACCCCATTCTGGTCAATCCCAGCATCGCCTATCCAGAAAGAAGGCTCGTCAGCGGCTTTGCCAGCAAGTGCGGATGTTGTGATTATCGGGTCTGGGATAACGGGTACGGCGTTTGTGCGTACGCTGCTCGACGCGGATGGGTCGTTGGATGTTGTAATGCTGGAGGCAAGGGACGCGTGTTCTAGGGCTACAGCGCGGAATGGGGGACATGTCACGCCGCCGCTGCACCATGACTATCTGGAATTGAAGAGCAAACACGGTGCAGAGGCTGCGAGGCAGATTATACGGTTTAAGCTGTCACATCTGGACGAGTTGATTGGCGTAACAGAGGAGGAGGGCTTGACGGAGGAGAGCCAGTGTCGCAAGGTGGAGACGTATGACATGTTCTTCGACCAAGAGGCGTTCGAAGGAGCAAAGGAGAAGTTGGAACGCTATTTGGAGGAAATGCCGAGTGAGAAGGGTGGCTGGGGTACGGCAGAGGGCTCGGCGGGGATGCAGCTTGCAGATGGAGTGTGCGGGGTCATCTCAACGATGGGAGGAGCGGTGCATCCTTATAGGCTCGTTACGGGATTCCTCTCAAGACTACTCAAGACGTACTCATCCTTTCGGTTATACACTCATACTCCATGTCTCTCCATCCGCAACAACATCGTTCGTACACCCCGCGGTGATATTCGCACCAAACATATCGTGCATGCTACCAATGGCTGGACGTCCCATCTCCTCGCACCGATGCGAGAAAAGATTGTTTCTGTACGTGGCCATATGACCGCACAACGCGCAGGAACAGGATTAGAAGACGGGTGGCTGGGTACACGGTCATTCGTACTGTCCCCAGGCGCGTCAGAGGATCGATGGGACTACCTCACCCAGCAACCGCCTGATCCTGCACGACTAGGCGAGAAACCGCACGCAGAGTTCATGTTTGGAGGTGGTATTGAGACGGGTATCCCGTCCTTCTTTGAAGCTGTTGGATGTGCTGATGACAGCCAAGTTGACTTTCGAACCTCGGCTTACCTTGGTGGAGCACTGGCGGCGTATTTTGGGAAATGGTGGGGAGGCGAGTCCGCTGATGTTGACGACGATGAACATTTTGAGAAAGGACGCGTGAAGAAGGCGTGGTCGGGCATTCTGGGCATCTCTGCGGATGGATTGCCTTGGGTGGGTAGTGTTCCCTCAAAGGTATCGGGCAGGAAGGGAGGGAGTGAGTAGATCGCGGCAGGGTATTCGGGGGAGGGAATGGTGCACGCGTGGATGAGCGGAAAGGCGTTGGCGTATATGGTGCTTGGAAAAGACGTTGATTGGCTCCCTGACCTGTTTCGCGTTACAGAGAAAAAGTGGAAGAAAGCAAATATCGCGTCTTGGCTATAACAACCCATCTTGTAGATGTACAAAAAAACTACGCGTCGTGGTTGTAATAATCATTTTTGTGTTCATCTCGTGGATATATAATAAAATACGCATCGGAAATATCCGAACAATCCTTCTCTCTTACGACCGCGACTCTGCTCGCATTCTCTGTCGTCTCCTTCGTCTACAATTGTCGGCCTCCTGAAATTCAAAATGTCGGTATGCCTACTGAGATGTTCAATGTATCATGCAGTAGTACCCATCCAAACAGGTGGATTGTATGTTCCAGCCATCTTCACATCCTCCTCGACGCGTCCTTCCTAGATCAAGCTCACAAGAGGCAATTAATCTTAGGAAGGGATCAATCTCTTCATGGCGAGCGAGTCCTCAACGAAGGAAGGCGTTTGATAGAACACAATCGGAGAATGGATTGATTGACACCTTGACCTTTCTGTGACTATGGTGTGTACGGATACTAAAACGCGTATACAGATATTGACGATGCAGCGTGCAGGACAAGCTGCCCACCACCTCGATCATGCCTCCTTGCCATCCCAGAGCTAGATTTAACATACAACTATCCAAGCCCTTCAGCTTCCCAGGCCATCGAGATCGAATGCATGGACTCTCATAGTTCACTTTCCCCCTCAAGATCATAGTTCTCTCCACACAAGTATCTTCCGCCTATCCTCTTCACCGCTCATACGTCGTCACGGATTCGAGAAGTCTTACTTGAGAGGGCGTGCGGATGAATTACCGGGTCGTGTGGATCACCCTGGCCATGTCACTCAATTCTCTACCTGGGATTGGGAACGAGGACTATCTCATCATGGGTATAGGCATTTGAAGGCTGACCCCAGAGTATGCTCCAAAAATGCATCGTTCCCTTCTATCACTCGCCGGGATGGATTCGCGTCTTTCTTTTTGACCCGTAGGCGCGTGTCGTGACATCAGTATACCGGAAGCTTCTCTCTCGCGATAGTCCTCATTATTCACTGTTCGAATGTACCAAGCTTCCTCTATCCTCGCCTCCAACCCCAACCACCTAGAACAACGAACGATTCCCCTGCTCATTCTTCACTCCCCTTATGTCGCACCAGTTCATCCATGGAGCTCCCCTTTCATAGTGTCTTCAAACACCGGATTGTGAGAGAAGGTAGCCGCCGAGACCCATAATTCGCGGCTTACCTTCAAGATACGGGGGTTTATTCCTCGGTTCTCCCCCCTCCCTTGGGCGTTGAAAAAATATCGTATTTAATTATTGCGAATTGGTCCTTACGCCCTTTCTTCGCCTTCAGAAGCTGCACATTGAAATCTTCTCTGTCAAATCCTTGTCCCTTGTCTGACATCTGCACCTATCGTTGATCCCGTATCCCGAGCATAGAAGGAGCCTATCAGGATCGCGAATTTTGACTTCTCACTCCCAACACGTCGTGGCAGATCGGTTCCTTTATTCCTCACCATACGAATGCTAGCATGCCTGATGGTGCCGCTGTGTCATGATGAAATGAGATCACCCTGCAGCCTCCTGTAAGGAGGGACTGGTTACAGGTCTGAATCCCACAGCAACCAGAGGTCCTTTTGCGTTTCTCGGTTCTGGCAAACGTCAAGTAACATCAAACATTTGTTTTAGGATTAAGAAGAAATCTCTCGTGTTTGAGATCTTTACCCCACGTTCCTCGCAGTCCTCGAATGAGGACGACAGCAAGACTTGTCGGGACAGAAGGAGAAACGGAGGTTCCAAACCTGAACGAGTGTATTATAGCGGGGTAAGCTATCGATGTGGTTATCTATCTCATCACTGATGTTGCTTATTAGTTCAGATGCCATGATGATCGACAAAATACAGCTCACTGGACATGTTGTCGGAGAATGATGACCATACAAAACAACGTGTCCTGCCTCCGATCTTCCAGCTCGTAAAACATCATACATATTGTGTGTCGCTGGATAAGCTCACAGTTAAATATCATTCAGAGTGCCTTTCATGGATTTTGGAACACAACACCCAATGGTGTATGAGAACGCTCATGCCAGTCTGCCATGCTTCTCACGACTTGTAGTACTTTGAAGCTCATCATGGACTATGCCTAAGGGAGTACTCTCTTCAACGTGTCGCAGTTTAGTGCGCCAGGCGGCATGACTTCCGAATGAGCTCCTTGACCGAAAACTCATCAATTATTGTATCCACGCCTACACTAGCTGGACCGTCCTCTTCCTAATAGTCTCGTCGCGCCAGAGACGGAGAAAATGAACATCTACGATTATGGATACGCTGGTCGAGTTTGGTTCAACTGGGATCTTCGATGCAATGTGGCAGATGGCGGCGTACTGTCTTATGGGTGCAATGTCGAATGATCCGTTGGCAAAGCTGGTATTCTTTGCTGAGTTCTGCAAGTCAATCTGTCGGAATATTGTGTCGACACCGGTACCATGGCTGTTCGCTAGAGACTGAAGGGGTGCTATTTCAGTCGTACATCAGGCCACTGCAAGGGCTTGCCGACAACCATTTGTCATTATTCACAGAATCAGAAATATGGCGTTAAAATTTTTATTCCATATTTAGTCATCAACGCCTGGCGAGGAATAATCAGAACTTTCGAGGCCCCCAAAACCGGACATTTATGTTGTTGGGGTCAATTCTACCCCAACCTTCCAATCAACCATACAATGTTCCTTTTCTTTAACCATCATGGACAGTTCGAATATGCCTTCAAAATGTGCCTGCAAGTTTCTGTACTCATTACTGCAGGGATGCAATTCTCGTGGCTCGGTTCATGCAGACCTATACTATTGATGCATCTCAATTCACTCATTGTAGGATTATCAACTATGCAAAGCATCATTGTTTATTCACAATGTTTGTGAGACAGGGGAGGATTGCACTGGAGAGGTAAAACTCATCACTGTGACAGTGTGGCAGGAGTCTGTAGCCTGTAGGATGAATTTATCTGATATAATGGCAGCATAAAGGCAAGGTGTTGGGATTTGCAACTTCAAGCTTGTACTAGAAGATTCCCGAAGCTTTGGCTTACTCATTTGTCACGATACTTAGATATATTTAGTTACTTTGGTAGAATATTCTAGATACATTTCGTAGTATATAAGGAGCTCATTAGGAGCTCTAGTAGCTAACAATTAAGTATTATACCTGCTGCAAGCCTCCCACTGCAATACTGCCAACACAAGGAACAGGTTCTAGCACCAGTATTCAATACATGGTGCAAGACAGACCAACTTTGACACTTTTCCTGAAGCATATACAGAAACTATAATTAACTTTATTTATTTCAATTAAGAACAATATGTGACTTGACAAGGACATCACTCCCCCAGATCTCTTTCAAGTGGTCTGCCAATGGTTGTGGCTCATCTATCTCTTCTTCGAAGACCATTTCGACCACTGATATCTTTGTAAATGTTTGACCAGACAGTCTCCCAATGTGACGGTACTGTGACAGGAAGTCAGCAGTAATGGCACACGAGAGTTAGACGAAGCAGAGAGTAGTCGAACGGAGGAAAGACCAGGTGAAAAGGACCTCTATTCGAGTAGTTCTAAGGAGTACGTAGGAGTATTTTAGGTCTTATATACGAGTAGGATAGGGTCTAATCTATAAAGAGAACATGGCTAAAGTAAAAGGAAAGGCGGGATAAGTAATAGAGATGCGGGATCACCGCAGTAAAGTAAAAGAGTAGAATAGTAAGTAGGTAATGGTAAAGATAAGATAGGAATAAAGAGAACGAGAGTACCGGCACAACGTGCCGGCACGAATCTCCTACATACGCCCTCCGATGCTTTCAAGAAAGCATCCCTTCAAGCTTCGTCTAAACCTTGTTCGGCAGTCGGTAGTGGCAGGCGTGTCCATCTCCATCGCGTTGGAAGGAGGAAGCACGTCGTCGGGTACGGGGGACAGACTGGGGGGACCGACGACTTGCAGAGAATATCCCGTATTGAGTCCCCACTCGTCACGCTTGGAACGATTCTCTTGACGCTGCTTCTTGGCGTATCCGATACGATCCCTGCGGCATTGCGAAGCAGGACGCCTCAGGCCCATACAGCGCGGTTGGCCGTAGCCCACTCCTCGTTGGTTAGAACCCTGCCAGAACTCGGTCCTGCTGGGGAACTCTCGCGACCTCCCTGCTCCTCGGCCTTCCGTTTGAGTGGTAGGGGAGGGAAAATCTCCTCTATGGTGACACGAATGTCGGATAGTACTTCGACACTCCCTCCGCGTTGAACAGGGAACAGCGCTGGGCATGTCCTCGTCAGTTCCATCCCTGCTGCGAACGACCTGTATCCGGCGGGCTCCGCCCACCCTTGGGGAATGTCGCCCTTGGCCAAGTGGTTCGCGTGCTTGATGTACAAGGTCACCTGTTCACGAGTGGTAGCCCAAGGTCCCGTTCTTGCACTTGAGCATGATGAAATACGGGCCCGCACGGATGAAATTCGTCAGGACAGGTAGAGGAGGCATAGAGGGAGTCGTGGATAGAAATATGGAGGTTAGAGAGGGAGAAATCGAGGTCGTCGAAGGCCCGAGTAAGTTGCAGTGGTGATAGATAGGTAGTACGGATGGAGTCAATCAGAGAATGGACAGCGTCGAGGTTCTGATGGATGACAGGTGGGCAGGGTAGGGAAGCAAGGCAGTGGTCGGCAAAAAATTCCTTCGTAATACTGTCCTTCTTATAACCCGAAGGTTCCTCCCCACTCTGAATACCCGAAAAATTTTTCTTCAACCCGCCCTCCGAAACCATGGGACCATGATCAATATGAACAGCCCCTAGGAAAAACCCAGGCTCGTCCACCGATGAGCCCGAACCCTCCTTCAACTGCGCTATTTTTGTGATGCCAAGAACATCGAAGTAATCCTGAAGAGCAATTAGTCCTTCAGCCTCAGCATAAGGGAGCCAGGTGTGATCCCTGGAAGCCCACTCCACCTGAAAGATAGCTCGCTCGCCTTTCCCAACATGAGAAAGAATGCCAGAGACCTTCCACTCCTTCTCCAATGGCTTGCTAAGTCCAACCT